TTATATTAAAGCAGAATATTCCACTTGAGCCCAGAGCTCAAAGATTTGGCTAGTCTAACTAACCAGCTTGCCCCAGGGATTCCCTGTCTCATCTGCTGAGCACTGGGATACAGGCAGGCCATTGGTGTGTGCTGGAGATCCCAATTCACTCCTCCCACTTCATGACAAGGGCTTGACCCACTGAGCCACCTCCCCAGCCCCAGATCTGCAGCCCGGGCTTCTGGCACTCACCCTTGATGACCCTTTACTTTGCTCACTCCATTCCCGCAGGCTCGTCTCCTTGTGCTCCTAACATTCCCACCCCAGTGCCATGGCTCCTGCTCTTCACTGGCCAGAGACACCTTCCTTCAGGCCCTGCTCAGATGTGGCCTGGCAGAGGGGCTTCCTTCACCATCCTCTCCTTTGCCATGCTGTATTTATCTCCATAGAACCGACATCCACCTGGGACATTATATTTTATCTGTTAACTCGTTTTGGAAAGCCAGTTTCAGGAGGTGTGTGTTTTGTTCTCTCTACTCCCTGCTTGTCTTTTGGGCCTAGGCAGTACCCGGCTCACTGTGGGAGTCCGATGAATATCTGCAGATGGACCAAACTGGTGAGCACTAGGCTGGGGTCCAGACACCTGGGGTCTGCTCTGAGTTCTACCAATGAGAAGCGGTTCCACTTCAAAAAACTGTCCCTTGACACTGGGTTTCTGAATCTGTAAAATGCTTGGCTGGGAACAGATGTCCCTCTGGCCTCTCCTGGCTCTAAGATCTGTAGGTTTTACAAATTTGCTTTGGCAGATGGTCTTGGATAAAATTCTAGCAACACCATTTTCTTTTCATAGGCATGAAATACAAGCCTTCTGGGACACTGCATTATGTGTCCAGGGGTGCAGCTTCTCCTGCAGCTAGGATGGAGCCTAGGATTCCCGCTGCACTTCGAGGTGCTTCCAACAGAACCTTCCCTTCAATCCTGTTGATGGCTAATGACATAATTGTGTTTTTCTGCTACTTTCCCTGGATGTGACTTCCTTGAGGACAGTAGTAAGTTCTCAATTACTTTGTCTGCAGCAGGTGTCACAGTCCCTGGCTCTCTGCAAATATCTACTGCATGAGCCAAGATAAGCTCCACCCGGACAAACCTCTGGTCAGCCAAAAGCTGCTACCATCTCTTTCCCCTCACTAATGAATGGCAGGCCAAAGTAGGGCTTTGCTTCTGATACTGACCTATCTGAGGGCCGTTAAGAAACTAAAAATTGCTGAGAGCTACTGAGAGTCAGGTATACCCTCACACTTTCTCAGTTTATTTAATCCTCATGACCACCTAATAATTAGAAATTAGTACTGCCCTGGGGCCAGCAGCATAGCCCACTGGTAGAGCACTTGTCTAGCATGAGAGACAGCAAGCAGCAACCAGGAATTGGTTCCTTAAATGATGAGAATGAGCTTTCTGAACTCCAAAGGCATTTTTGTCATTAGAAGGGATATTGTGGAATATTCCTTTACACTGACTGTGTGAATATATGTCACTGTGATTGGTTTAATAAAGAAGCTGACTGGCCAATAGCTGGACAAGTAGAGGTTAGGCAGGAGAGCCCTATAAGTGTTAACTAGTAACAAGCCTGAGCTATTGGCCAAACATTTATAATCAATAGTAAGCCTCTGTGTGGTTATTTGGGAACTGACTGGTAGGACAGAAAACTCCACCTACAGGATATTTTTATTGACCATAAAGATAGCTAATTCTACATAATATACCTGGAAGGGTAAAAAAGCATTTCAATTAGGTGGTTTGAATTTTAACAGTAAAGGTGTGTTTTTGATAATACCATGTACCATGCATTCACTGAAAAAAAATTAGGAATTCAAATAAATTGCTACTCAATTATTATGGCATACTTGGAAACAATCACTATCAACCTTGTTAAGCCTTAATCTCCTAGGCTTTCTCTAGTATATTCATTTTATGGATGATGTCTGTCCTCCCTTGTTTTCTCTTGCTGTGATAAACAGCAGCTTATTGATCACACTCTGTCCTTGAGGGAGGTCAGAGCAGGAACTAAGCAGAGGCCATAAAGGAATGCTGCTTACTGGCTTCCTTCCTACAATTTAGGACTGCCTGCCATCCCTCAGGAATCATCAGTCAAGAAAATGTCCAGTCTGAGGGAGGGATTTTCTGAACTGAGTTTTCCCTCTTTCCACACAACCCTACCTTGCATCAAGGTGATAAAAATTTACCGGTTACGTCATTTTATATTATGAACGTATTGTATTACAAAACTATTGTATTGTGGCTTAGTAAGATTATATCAAGTAGAGGCACCATCCATCCACCATTCTGTTAACACTGCTCAGACTGTTTCCACTTTTAAACTCCATTGTAAACGTTAGTTTCTAATGCGAGGGGGGTGGCCCAGCTGCTAAAGTGCCAGCTACACAGGCATGAGCACCTCGCTTCAGATCCCACTCTACCTGTCAAGAGTACTATTCTCCGAGTGCCGTCTGTTCTCTCAGATCCTGTTCAGAAGTTTGCTCATCATCTAGGTCAAAAATTGGTGGTTTTCCAGGTCTCCATCACCACCTACCTTAGTCCTCTCTGCCTATTCTGACTTGTTTTCTTGCAGAGTCTACATTACCACCTACAGTCAGGACAGGCTGAAGTTTACCTCAGATGCATTACATCCTTACCTGAAGGTCCTAGCTCTTGGCAGAGGGCAACCCAGCAGTGGTGCCTGAAACTGTCCGATGACCACATTGTAATGTAAATGATTTGGAAAACATTGGCTGGGCAAGAATGTGAGTACCCCACATGTCACTATGAGAGTCTCTCCTTTACATGCCTGGGAGCTGCAGATCCCCTACTCCTGAAGCCATTTCCCATCAGCACCTTCTCTGCACTCTCTTGATGCATCCCCTGCCCATCTTCTGAAATCCAGCCTGTGGCCAGTACTCCATGATTCTAGAAGCTCTACCCTCCCTTCTGGCCTTCCACAGTACCCATGTTTACTGACTGGTTTTGTGTATCAACTTGACTCAAGCTAGAGTCATCAGAGAGGAAGGAGTCTCAGTTGAGGAAATGGCCTCCATGAGATCCAGCTGTGAGGCATTTTCTCATTCAGTGATCAATGAGAGAGGGTCCAGCCCCTGGTGGATGGGTATACCCATGGGCTGGTGGTCCTGGGTTCTCTAAGAAAACAGGCTGAGCAAGCCATGGGAAGCAAGCCAGTAAGCAGCACTCCTCTATGGCCTCTGCATCAGCTCCTGCCTCAAGAATCCTACCCTGTTTGAGTTCCTGACCTGACTTCCTTCAGCGATGAACAGCAATGCTGAAGTGTAAGCCAAATGAAACCTTTCTGTCCCAACTTGTTTGTGGTCATGGTGTTCATCACAGCAATAGAAACCCTAAATAAGACATCATGCTTTATTCTCTGCTTGGATTCTAACTTCTTTAGCATATAGTCAGATATTCCTCATCATTTCTCTCTTTGCCCTCAAAGCTCTTGAGAGCAGAAGCTGGTTCCTTCTTGGTAGTTGGCTTGGTAAGCATGTAACCTATGGTTCGAGACTTTTAACTATTTTCCCTTATCAGTGTCACGCTATGTGTATACATGGGACTACATGTATATGCATGTGGAGAACTATTCCTCACATCCAATGTAATAAGCATAGTTTAAAAAAAAAGCCTTTTAGACATGTAAAAATAGCTTAGTCAGGACCCACTACACCCAAGGCTGCACCTGATAACCAGAACCCAGTGACATCACTCACCATAACAAGACACAGTCCTAGACCCCATCATGCCCACTGGACAGTATATAAGCAGAGACCAAGAGCAATGCTCTGCTCTGCACATCTGGAGAGACCGGGATCCCGACCCTCAAATCAGATACTTCTGTTAGAGACTGGACCTGACCTTGGGGAGATAGGCTTAGGACCACAGTTAGGAATGTAGTGTGTGAACCTTGTGTGATGACCCTCAGCATAATGAAATATAACTCTTATTATACTGACTATGTGTATCTACCTTCTTGCTTGCAGCATACACTTTACCTTTCTTTTTTAAAGACAGTCATACTGCTATCACTGCCCTGGAACTCACTGAATAGGTGGGGTTGACTGGACAGTGAGCCCCAGGGATTCTGTTTCCATCTCCCTAACATGGAGATTACAAGCCCAAGCCACCATGTTGCGCTTTTTATCAGTGTTCCGGTACTGAACGTAGGTATTGGGGATGGAACTTGGGACACCCATACTACTATTCTCATTTTAGACCTGCATGAAAAGGGACAAAGTGGAGAGAGTCCCACTTCTTTAATATATAGTATTACTTAATCTCATTCACCTTATTGATAAGTAGGTATTTAGGACCAGAACGAATCTTAGGACAGAAGTTGCTGAAATATCTCTCAATATAGCCCAGCTGGCCTTGAAATCACGGTTTTCCTGCTTCTGCCTTTCTATTATTGGAATCATAGGGGTGGGCCATTACACCTGGCCTTCATGATTCCTTCCTCTAAGAAATGTATGCGGTGTTTGCACCAAAATTAAGTTTCCATACAGCAAACTAGCCTAGCGCTAGAACTCCAGGAGGCCGCCGCCATACCTTTGAAGGTAATGGACATAGCTTTCTCTGCCTCCAGATCCTTCCCCACGCTCAGGCAGGCAAGATTGATCGGCGCGGGGAGCCAGAGGCAAGCATTCCAGCACAGTTTTGCGGTTAGGCAGAACCCCAAGTAAGTCTCCAAGAATAAACGAGCAAGTCACAAGGAGCTAGGAGGCGGGGGTGGGGGTGGGGTGGGGGCCGACTGTGAACTCTGCTGCAGGCGGACCTGTCACTCCAGCTGACAGCGGGAACCCTCCACCCTCAAGTTTTTAAGGAAGGCGGTGCGCCCCAGACGGAGAGCTTGGCTCTAGGGAAATGAACTCCTGAGGTTGTAAAGAGAAAGGAAAAGGCCGGGGCGGCCAGCGGCCCAGTGAGACACCTGTGGAGTGGGCAGCACAACAGGCTCAGGCTACCTGGCGTCGGGCTCCTCCTCCGACTCGGCCTCCTCCTCCTCCTCCTCGCCCTCCGACGACTCCTCCGTCTCCAGCTCCTGGGCCGCCTCCTCGTCCGCACCCCAGCCGAGGAAGCCCTCCGCGGCGTGTCTGCTGTCAGCGCTCGCCATCGCGCCTGTCCCGGCCGGAGTCGGAGCTGCCCGCGCCTCGCCCGGTGTTCTCCGTCTGACTGCACTTCGCCCGGGCCGCGGGGCTGCTCGGGTTCCCGGCGCGCGGGGCGGGGGAGCCCCAAGCCTTTAAATAGAAGGCGTCGAGTTTCGCCACTGAGCTTCTGGGGCCCGGGCTCAGCTCTCCCCGGTCTGGGTCGCCTGCCAAGGGCCCCGCCCGCCTTGGCAGATCTTGGGTGGCCTCTGGGACCGGGGCAGACTGCAGTGCTGAGGGCTGCACCTGGGCGTCGAGCGACCAGGCTGCCCAGCCTTCCATCCAGTGATTTGGCGGGTTTTACACTCCAGCTGAGCTGCTGGATGGTTCCTTGAGGCCAGGGACTTGCTTCCCTTATTCCTGAAGTTATGGTGCCAGTTTGTAGATAGTTTAAGGTCTCACTGCTAGCACGGTGACAATGGGAAACTTGCTAGACGCGCCCGATACAAAGGCTCACTTTCCAACCATCAGGCCCCACTGTTCCAGAGAACCTCTTAAACCCACACTACCCAAAGGTGCGTCGTCCATGGGACCGAGATCTCATTGGATCATGTAAAGCCGGTGCTTAAACTCTCAACCGCAGCTCTAGGACTAAAGCCCAAGGTTCTCCGAGAGATCAAATCCTGACTAATCCCCTTTCAGAAATCAGGAATTTACACCGTATCAAATAGAACGCCTTCGGCCTATTTATTTATTTATTCAGGATCACCACCTTTCTCTGAAATCTCCAGGTTTGAACTCGCTGCTCCTCTCCAGCAGCCTACTGAGTATGTTGATACCTAGCAGACGATGGATGTTCATCTCTGTCCCACCACCCGGTTCTTAGAAGCTCCTAAGCTGGCCAAATACCCAGGGCAAACCACAGTATGTAACGGATGCTTCTAAAAAGGCCAGACCTGTGTAGTAGTGAACAGGCAGGAATGTATCCTTTCCTGAGAAGGGCTCTGGGGCTACAACTCCAAACCTTTATTTTTAATCACAGCGGATTCTACTTACAGTTTAGTTTGTAAAGGAGACTGGAAGGTAGGTATTACTCTCTAGCTACAACAGCTTGCATGCTGTGCACCAGGCATATGAACAAAGGTGTAGATCAGCAGGCTCTTTTACCACTGATTTTGCCCAAGATCCTATTTCAAATAATCCAAAACAGAATTGTTTACAGAGTCCACACTTTTAACACTAACAATACTTTAACAACACATACAAACATATAGAAATGGAGCAATCAACACACACACACACACACAATAAAATGTAACATTCACACAAAATTGAAATTGAAAATAATGTGTCTCCTGCTGCAGATATTAGCTCAATGGGTAGTGCACTTGCCTATCAGGCACAGGCTGAGTTCAATCCCCAGCACTGAAAATAAATGAAAAAACCTGCCTCATATATTAACAGCCCACTTACCTGATACAGCTAGACTGCTACAAGTACATGATCTTAGGTGCTGGCCCATTAGTTCCAGGATGTAAATTTATGAGCTTTTTGGCCTACTTGTTACAACAAATCAGCTCAAAAGTAGTAGGGTGGGGCCACTGAAAACCGAGAACAGGGTGGCAGTGCACGAGTCCACATTGTGGTTAATTCTGAGGCTTTATTAAACGTCATACTGCTGCAAAGCAGAACACCCGTCCCAAAGTGCCCACTATTTACAAACATTCCCTGGGGTCACCACTAAACTATCACACTCAATACATTCTGAGAAGGAAGAGCTGCACAGCATGGAGCAGCTCTCAGGAACACTGCCAAGAAAAAGAAGTCATATATAAAACGCTTAGCTGCATCCAAAGTACTACAGATCAGTGATCTAAAAAACTGACCCACGTGGAAAGCTTTATTCCTAATAAAGCCAGAGAAATATAGTGGTTAAGGGGCTTAACCACAGAATTAGATTCAGACCAGTTCAGATCCATCTCATTACAAAACCAGTGACTGTCACAGAAAAATTACACCTCAATAACTTCCAGGTATAAACTTTATTCCACTTGACAGCATACAAAAACTTGAACTTAAAGGAAAAAGGAAATATGCACCCTTTATAAGTCAAAGAAAGTGAACATTTTAGTTTTTTAATTGGTCTGCAAAAAATAGTTCAGTGGTACAAACTGTACCACCATAGGCCTACAAGAAGTCTGCAATCTTTGAAAAAGTTAAAACTGCCTTCAAGATTACTTTTTATATTTAAATTTACAGGTACTAACCAATTTACAAATATTTACATAAACTAAAAACAGTCTTAATAAACAGAATAGCTTGTATCTGAAGCTACTACTTTCATGTGGAAAAGAAATACTAAAAAAGACTTTTGTATAAACATTCAACTTTTATTGATAATTTTATTGTCTTATCTAGAACACTTGGTAGTGGCTGACTGCCTAAAATCCAGTTTAGATCGATTACAATCCGCAGAAATCCGATTCTACAAGTAGGATAGAGTCTTGACTTGGGTGTTTCAGTTTTCTGCTGTTTTTATCATGAGGAAAATAAACCAGAAAACCGGAGGTAAAGCAACAGTGTACACTGCACTATGCTCTCAGAAAGCATAGGAAACTTCACTTCTCCAAAGTGTCTGAGTCAGAGACTCAGTCCATTAGCAAGTCACTACCTGCTGTTCGTGCTCCTGTTACAACAGTGCAAAATGTATTGTTTCGTCACAAAACCTAAAGCAACCTCCAGTCTCTCTGAGCAAGGTGTGAAGAGCTCATGGGGACACTGGTACAGACACAGTCACAGACAGGCTGCCCCAGGGAGTCAAGAGAAGACTTAAGGCAATGGTCCAGAATTTCAGGACTCCACAGTGAGTTCACAGAGTCCAAGATTTCATTTGCTTCAAGTAACTCAATAACTGACTTGAATCTTCCCTTGACTAGAACTGAGTTGAACAACTGTCTACTGCCAGTTACACTGCAAATATGTATTACTTAGATCCTTTGCAAAATTCCACATGCTTCTTCAGTATTAACATGTGGTACAAGTACTTAAAATTATATCAAAACCTTAATAGTTCAGGTAATTTCTCAAAATATATTTTATGCTGAAAAGTCATGCCATAATACTACTAATCATCAATGTAAACATTTTCAAAAATACATTTTTAAATCAAAGAGTTTATTAGGAAATGTCATAATAAAATATGTAATCTTTATATAAGTATGTCCTTTAAAAAATAAAACAAAAACAAGAACAACATTAAAAATAAACCATGATGGAGGTAAACAAATGCACTGGGATGTAACTATTGTTCTTTATTTCTTGGAAGAGGTTAAGAACTGGAGGCCAGCTATCTCTTCAGGGTAGCAGCTCTCGAAGGCAGAACACTGTTCAGATCTCTCTTGTTTTTCAATCTCTGCCAGGACTAGGAAAGGGAAAAAAATTAAAAATTAATCTTAAAATACAAACTAGACACAGAACAAAAGACTGATTTTGAAAAGTTTAAAAGAATATTAGCAGTGGTTCTATCTACAAAGAAGTTTAGATTGTTTTTCTTAATTTTATTTCCCAAGGTATTTTATTACAACCAGAAAAGAAACAATTATTTAATATTCTATGGATTGATTTAAAAAAAGTGGGCACAGTGGTGGCAAAAAAACTACAAGTGACAATAATAATGTAACTTACAGATTAAATTATTTCATCTAAAATAGCCAAGTACTCAATTTGAATTTAAGAAGGGGAAAAAGACTAGCTTCTTTTTTTTTTCTTTAATGGAAAAAACAATATTTTTATGAAGGCAAGAGTAAATATAAAACTTGGTGCATGCCCCTGGAAACAGTGAAAGAGTTCACAAGAAAAGATACTGCAATTCTTGTTCATGTGCTAAAAATCCAGGTCACGATTTTATGAAGACATTAGGTGTTCAAGTAACTAATAGGCAGCTTTACTACTAACTAATCCTAAAAGAAGTTTACCCACTACCAAGAATAAGTGAGCAATAAGAAAAACTATGTTCCACTTTGCTTGTTATGAGGCAAGGCCTACTTTGAAGAGAACTTACAGCACACTACTTGCATTTCAATTACATGAAAGTCTGTCTGTCTGTCCAAATAGTGAAAAGGGTATCACTAATGCATCTTCAGTTCTCTGACCTTTCCCTCCTAGGAAGCCTTCCCTCCTAGTTCTTACATATTTCTATCAATGCATTTTCACACTGCCATTCATTGCTGACAAGTACCTCATCTAGCAAAACTACTGATAAATAAATCAATACTGTGGACACAAACCTATAAATACCTTTTGAATTTTCAAAACGTATCAAAGATAAAATGTCATGGTGGGAGTAGCAGAAAAAGGACAAAAAGCACAATTCACATATCAAATCCTTCTCTCTAATAAATGCCCCAATACTTTAAAAAAGGAGTCCACTGAGTTTTATTTAGTCATTTGTGAGTTTAATAAGCTTCCTATTAAAAATGTAAAACTTATAATACCTTTCTCTGGAGGAAAAGTACATCTTTTTTCTTTTCTTTTGTCACATTAGTGGCTTTACTCTTCTAACTTTATTTTTTTCAAGCACTCTAGTCCACTAACATCTCTAGAGTCAACAGGATACACTGTTTACCTTTAAAAACTGATCCTTGATCATATCAAACTTCTGCTTTTCATGCACAGCTCTGGCGGTATTAGTTCCATCAAAAGGTTCTGCATCAGGAAATGCACAGGTAAAAAAATTAGTACAGTGGGGTTTTATTTTTTCCCAGCACTGGGGATCAAACCTAGGGCCTCATATATGCCTGGTAAGTGTTCTACCACTGAGCTCTGTCCTCAGTCCGAGAACACTTTTAGATTAGGTTCAATTATATGAAACTGGCAGTATGTTACAGCCTCTGACTTATAAAAACAGCAAATTCATATGGTTTAACCTAGTATTTTTACTAGCTGTGTATGTACACACACACACACACACACACACACACACACACAGACACGCACGCACGCATGCACACACACACACGATTGATCTAGCTATGAGCTGTCTGGTAAGGTAGGTAGAATTCAAGTCAGAGGAATGACAGAAATGATTGGAGGTGCAACTGAGTGGATAAGATCTCTAAGGGTTTAGCGATGGTAAGGACCTATCCTGAGGAGAATTGAAAGTTACATAAAGAATGAAGCACCGTATTTAAGAGAGGGAGGGGCACAATGCCAGCTGTTACAGAAGGGTAAGCTTAAACTCAGTTGTAATTTAAAAACTGATTTTTTTCCAGGAGGGAAAAGGTCAGGAACTTTTAAGTAGAGCAGTGGTTCTCAACCTTCCTAAATCTGCCACCCTTTCATACAGTTCCTCATGTTGTGGTGACCCCCAACCATAAAATTGTTTTTGTTGCAACTTTATAACTGTCATTTTGCTACTGTTATGACTAGTAATGCAAATGTCTGTGTTTCTCAACGGTCTTAGGTGACCCCTGTGAGACAGTCTTTGGATGCCGCCCTCCCCCAGGGGCCATGATCCCCAGGTTGAGAACTGTTGGAGAAGATGTCACTGCTGAAGAGAATGGAGGGCTGGCTGTGCAGTGTGTTATGATGTGAACGATGTTTAGAAAGAGATCCAGGAAGAACCACTTCCATGAGGAATCTGGCAAGGAGGAGAAAAAGAATCCCAAGCAGAGAAGACAGGAGGAAACAAAGCTCTTGTGTGTGCCCACTATATGCTACCTTCTGTGTCTATGCCCTCACCCACAGGACACAGCACAAGAGGCCATATGTGACAGAGAGAGACAAGGCGGGGTGGACAGGACACACAGACCAAGTGACGCTTTTGTTTTGTTTTTAAACAAAAGGCTTACACAGCCCTTAAAGCTGAAAGGGAAGAACGAGAGCCAAAAGTCAAGGAAGTTTCTGAAAAGGAGCTAAGAGGAAACACCTAGAGAACCCGAGGAAAGCAAAGAGCTACAATGGAGAGGTCACTTTATTCTGAAAACTCCTGGGCGGTGGTGGCACACGCCTTTAATCCCAGCACTCGGGAGGCAGAGCCAGGCGGATCTCTGTGAGTTCGAGGCTAGCCTGGGCTACCAAGTGAGTCCCAGGACAGGAGCAAAGCTACACAGGGAAAGCCTGTCTGGAAAAACCAAACAGAAAACTCCTTAGTTTGTGGTTGTGGCGGTCGATTTTATCTCGTGTATATATGTGTGTGTGGGTGCAGTGAGGTCTGGGGTGTGCCGTCATAGGACAGACAGCGTGAGAAAGCTGGTTCTCTCCTTCTGCCATGTGGGTCCTCTGGCTCAGGCTGCCAGGCTTGGCCGCAAGGACCCTTACCGTCTGACCCCTCACAGGTCCTCTAGTTAGTCTGTACTTCTTACAGAGGCTGTTTAAAAGGACGTCATCCACTGTCAGAGCACAGTGGAGCTTTTCTACTGTGTTTTTAGGTTTTAGTAGAGGAAGGCTCTATGCCACACTGAATCGGGCCACATCATATACAGCACTTTATTAAAATGTTCAATTTTCAAAAGAACACAAGTAACTAAAATAATATACACTTATTGTCCAACATCAGCAAACCAAACACCAAGAAGATTTAAATTCATAGTCATGTACCCTTTTACAATGTTGCAAAAAACAAGTTAAAATAGTCTCATATAATATTTACTATAAATGTTGGCTTTTTTAAATTCTTTTTCACCTCAAGATTTACAAAAATCTTCAATTTGCATTTAAGAAAGCATTTTAGTTTTGTTTGTCGGGGCACGAGTAGTACTGGAAAGCCAATTCAGGGCCCAGCATGTTAGGTGGGACTTTGGAGATTAATGTCCCACTAAGTCAAAGAACGTGTCTCAAGAATGTAACTACATGTTAACTTATTTGAGAAAACAGAACTGTTTTCAGACCATTTTTAAAGTTAATTTGACTTCATAAATAGGTATCACAAATTACATAGTTTTAATCAACTATAGTATGAAGAATGCAAGAGCTGCTCAAATCTTACCAACTAAAATGTTCAAATTCACATTTAGTATTTCTCACAACTGAAGAACTTTAAATGCTTTTCCAAATTGAACATGTAAAGGTAACAATATAAATCACTACATTATTTTAGCAAAAATAAAGTTGGAGTTAGTCAGAAGCAATATGCTAACTAGATTGCAGACACTGGTCAGGGGAACCTACCTTCAACACAGATGTATTTATTTCTCCATTCAATGTCTTCAGGCCTCGGGATGGCTTTGGCTTCACGAACTGAAATCATCTGAGTGTTCCAGCTAAAGGGAGAAACAACAACAACAACAACAAAAATGGCCGCTTTCCTAATTTCTCTTTGATTCCATCAGTTGGCAAGCTGACCCTGACTGCCTGACAGAACACTGAATCTTGGCTCCACCCCTCAGCACCAGTTCTCCATGTCCTTGTTTATTTATGTTTATTACATGTGATTCTGCATACCTCTCCCAAGTAGTTTAAGTTCCAGGACACTGAGATACTTCTTTAGCTGTTCAGCTAGTTCCTCAGTATACACTAGATACTGAATACACATTTACTAATAAAGGAAATAGTACAAAAACGCTTCTTTAAAGTTCAAATAAGTAAAACACATAAACACTGTCTACTGCTAATACCTCAATAAGAATTTTTCATTAGTTGTAAGGTAATCTTGTGGCATTTTCTTTTTCTGATAACACTGCATAATTTTCTTCAGGTACATCTTATAGGATTTGTGATAAATCTTTGAAAGTAGCTAGCAGAAGCAAGGAAGAAAACAAAATTAATGTTTTCTGTTTTATTATATAAGCAGCAGCAGTAGTTAACAGCACTAATACAAGATCTCATGTAGCTCAGGCTACCTGAATTTGCTATGTACCTGAGAGGACCCTGATCTCCTGATCCTCTCTGCTCTCCACTTCACAATGCCAATTTATGCATGCTGGGAACAGAACCGAGAGCTTTGTGCACCCTAGGCAAGCAGTTTACCAACTGAACTATATATACCCCACACCTACTCGTAAAATATTTTGAGTGAAATAATTTTGTCTACATATTTGAATATAAACATTAACTGTTCTACAGTATCTACTAATTTTACATGGTTTTTAAAAGACTATAAACATTTTATTTGTATTTCTGAGTTACTATAAATAAAAGCACTTTTCTTTTTTCCAAGAAACACTCCGAAGTATACAACCACCTAGCTAATATACAAGAGAAAAATAAATCTGATGAGATGAAATCTTTTTGTCAACAATATTTGGCTTTCTCTATCAGCAAGCCAAGAAAGAATATTACTTGAGGCCCACCAACACTCAAGCAACTCTTGCTCTATGTATCAGAAAATCCCTAAGAACATAATCATGGGTCCTATATGGGAGGTTTCTGGAAACAGGATTAATTTTTAATTTTAAATATGTAAGAAATAATTTGCTGTTTGTGGAGTTTGATCATTGCAAAGTATCCTGCAAGCATAGTTTTATAGTCTTGCTTTGATCAAGAGCTGTACAGAGCATAGGATGGTAGCATGCACCTGTAATCCCAACACTCAGAGGCAGAAGCAGGCAGACTGCAAGTTCAAAGCTAGCCTGAGATAGAGACCCTGTCTCCAAAGATCAAGGACCGAGGATGTATGTCAGTAGTAGAGCATTGGTCTGGCATGAACAAGGCCTTGGGTTTGAACCGGGGCCATGGAGGGGGGTGGGGAAAGACAACTAGTATGGACATACATCATTAACAGAGTTTTCGTTCTTTAAACATACACGTGTATCTATACATCAAAACATATACATCATGTAAGTGGGTGGGGGTTGTCAGTGGAGACATTCTAACACTGGTTGTTGCTTACAGTAAAATGTAATAGATGCTTCAAGTACTGCAGTTCTGTGAGTTCCAAACAGAAAAGGAGGACTTTGCTCGATTACTACAAAATGCTTCCAAGATTTTCTTTAAAAATAGTGAGAAAATAATGAGAAAAATTATATGACTACATACTGAACCAAACATGGTTACAATATTATACTTGTATCACTTTAATTTTCACCACTCAAGATCTTTTGTTTGTTTGGTTTTGTGTCAAGGTCTTACAGAGTCCAGTCTAGCCATGTCGTCAGGGACACCCTTGAAATTTTGACCCTCCTCCCTCCATCCTGTGTGTACTTGGAAAGAAAGCATGCCTATCCCACCATGCCTGATGCTAAATCCTGTGGCCCAGGCTGTCCTCAAACTGGTGATCCTCCTGCCTCATCCTTTTCAGCATATTAGCTTGTGGTGCTACAACTAGCAGTAACTTTTACTAATTTATCTTTATTAGATTTTTTTATTTTGTTTTAAGAGAGTGTAGCTATATTGCATAGACTGACCCTTAACTTCTAGACTTAAACAATTTTTGCTTCTGAGAGCAAGACTTGGCGAAAAAAAAATCAGCAATTTTTAAATGGTCATATAAAACTACTGCAAAATGTACTGTATATACTCAAACATCCCTTAGCAGACAGTTAATTCTTTGGCTTCCAAGTAAGGATGCTTTTAATTGAATAAAATTCAGAAGCAATCCTTACAAACATTTTAGCAGTGCCAGCAATCTTTTAAACGGTACCTCATTCATTGCTTTGATCGCATTCTTGGCTGAGCTCCCTACAGTCAACTACGTGATATTATCTTGTATAAAGTGCTGGGCAGAAGTACTGTAAGAGGAAGTCTTAACATCTCTTTCCAAACATTAGCATCCCAGCTTGTATCATCTGACCCATCCAGCCATTTTCTATTCATGTTAAACTAACACAAAGCCTTTCCATCTACCTTCTGGGTCAGTCCCACAAAGCACCTACAGAAGAAATCCCTTTTTCTTCTGTGACTCTTCTCCCTTAACATTACACTATATGTCTAATTTATAAAACAACAACAGATACTGTCAATAGAGAATGTGGGTGAGAGCTGGGCGGTGGTGGCGAACGTCTTTAATCCCAGCACTCGGGAGGCAGAGCCAGGCGGATCTCTGTGAGTTTTAGGCCAGCCTGGGCTACAGAGTGAGATCTAGGTCAGGCACCAAAACTACACAGAGAAATCCTGTCTCAAAAAACAAAAAACAAAAACAAAACAAAAAAAAAAAAAAAAAAAAAGAATGTGGGTGTGGGGGCTAGTGAGATAGCTCATCATATAAAGACACCTGCCACCAAGCCTGAGGACCTGAGTTTTATCCCTGGGACCCATATGGTGGAAAAGAGAAAAGTAATTCATGTTTTGTAGTTTTACATCTTTTGTCAATGAAGGCTCCTTCTTTCTCATCATTGCTGCCTGAAATTTTTAACCTGGATTATTATTTTTTGTTTATTTGCTTTATTTTTTTGAGACAGGGTTTCTCTGTGTAGTCCTAGAACTGGCCCTATACATCAGGCTGGCCTTGAACTCAGAAACCTGCCTGCCTATCTCACAAGGGCAGTGATTAAAGGCATACATATACCACTACACCTAGCTAGTCTGGATTATTTTAATTTTGTTCTTACTCCGCTTTCCTCTAGCACATTTCTGACCCCTTTCTAACTTCCTTCAGTCATTTTAAGCTAATTTAAGGATCTATGATCCACTGAAAACCTCACCATCTCACCCTCTGCATCTAAACTGTAACACACATCTCTCCATTCAGCACTGGGCTAGGTGTTGAGGTCATCACTACAAATGAAAGATGCACAGAAACTCTACTTGTAAGATTCTGAATTGTAGTTCTTCTTTCATGTCCTGTGTTTCAAATACAAGTCAGATTTCTTTAGAGTTACCTACGTGATATCAAAAAAAGGCAGTTCCAATGCTGCTGTAATCATTACAGTTAAATGAATTTTGGAGTCAAATTATCAAAATCATTATCCTTACTAGCTATCAATTCTTTGGGTATTTGCTTCATCTCTTACTGAATCCTTCTGTGACTCACTAGTAAAATATAAGGTCACAACACAACCTCATACAGTTTATAGAAATTGATGAGGTACCATCTCCTCTGCTTATAAGCTCTTTCCTATCTACTAATAGCCATTTATTAGTGCTATTACTCCCCTCTCCAAACCCTTCAACATGTAATACTAAAGTCACTATGGCTCTTTGTATACAAAGGACTCTACTCCTTCACACTTTCCAGATTGATCAGATTACTACAAATCACCAGCTTTACTCTACCTAGACTTAGAACTCCCCCAAAAAAGCTCCGCTGTCTGGTTGTTTATATATTGCCTTCAAATCAAAGAAAATAAAAGATGTATTTTTTGGTTTGCATTTCATCCTAATACAGCTATTTATTCAGATATTGATCATTTAAAAAAATCCCAAGTCTGCCTTGGCAGTATTTTTTTTACTTTAAATTTTAAATTCCTAGGAAACAGATGTTCCAACTACAACCTATACAGAACTAAAACACAAGACCCACCTAGGCCCTACTAGAGGAAGTCCTTAACATAAAATAGAATCACAAATGAAATAAAACAAAACACGAGCATTATCAGGGCCAGAGAAATGGCTCAGAGGTTAAGACCATGTACTGTTCTTGGAGAGGACTCAAGTTCAGTACTCAGAACCCACACCAGGCAGCTCACAACTGTAACTCCAGCTCCAGGGGATCCAGCTCCCTCTTCTGGACTCCATGAGTACTGCACCCAACACGTACAAAACCTACACTAGACATACACACGTATTTAAAAAACCCTAAGTCTTAAAACTAGGCTTATTAAACTATGAATGTTTTATTATCAAAGAATAAAAACTGAAATCTTAGTTGCTATTAATTAACTGTTAGGTGTTCTATCTCAGGAACCTGCTTACAGCACTGAAATGAACAAATGCAGCTTCTCTAAATCTACAGCAATTACTTATATATAAAAAAACAAAAACAATTTCAAGTTTGACTTACTCAAATTCTGTAGCATAATATTTAAGAAAGCCCAGTAAGAGGTCCCCAAGACTTGATTCATTCTTTGAGAGGTAAGGAGGAACATTACATGGAGCATGATGTACAAGGTGCAGCTGTACAGAAGTACTAAAAGACTCCTGTGGGAAGAAAAAGGGAGAAGACACAATGCCACTGAAAATATATACTAACAACTTTTATCAATCCTGATCTAGGTTCTTTGAAGTCAGAAACTTTTTTTTTTTTTTTTTTGTGCTGGCAATTTAGAAATTTGAAGACGTTCTTTCACTTAAAGTCTCACCAGTAAGGCATAAAGTATATGAAAAACCTTAGTTCTAGTTTTTGGCTTGTGTGTATCATTATGGTAGCAAAATTCAAGCATGAGTCAAACTTTATTATAAATACCATGATTCTTCCCAAAGATACATATTTATAAATTACTTGCCTAATTATTTCTACAGTGAAGTTGTACTTTATGTATAGAGATATCAAACACGAGCAATGGCTTTTTCCAACTGCCACTTAACATAATATTCCTCTCAAAGGCCACAGAAGCTTCAATATATGAATAGTACAGTTTTCTTTTTTTTTGAGACTTTCAAAATTGTTTGATTTTGCTGTTGTAGTTTTAGTGGAAATAGAAAGACAGCTATTCCATGTGAGCTGAACTTCAAAAGATGATGGGAGGGAAAAGAAGATAGAATACATACAAACAAACATTTATCATAGCTATTTACAAAGGAATTATTAGCTGTGTGTGATCTAGGTCTAAATAAGGCATCTATTATAAAGAATATGAATGAGTACTTTCTGTACTAAAGCTGATAGTATTCACTTTCTTATCTGACCTTTCCTCTATTAGCAGCAAGTTCTGGATCTGAACAGGGTGATTTTCAAGTAATACATAGTCATAAAGATTCCCCCCTCCTTTTTTAAATGGAGACTCTCTACCCTAGGCTAGTCTCAAACTCAGTATGTAGCTGAGGATGACCTTGAATTTCCAATCTTCCTAGCTCTATGTCCCAAGCAGTAAGATTATAGGCATGCACCCACACCCACTTTTTATGTGGTGTTGGGGTCCAAACCAGGGCCTTATGCATACCTGGAAGGCACTCACATCACTAAACTCCATTACTTTAATTGTCTAGCTGAAGAGACAGATGTGGAGACAGAACAGCAGCTCTATTTAACAACAGAGATTCCAGGAGAAGGAGCAAATGCATCATCTCTACCTCACTTTGTCTTTCACTTTACAGGTAAAAAGATGGACTTAGGACGATAGTATTTACAACTGTAAAACATATTGTCTGACAAAGCAAATGTAAAAGTCAAATGTAAGAGAGATGGTAGGTATAGTTATTTTTTGCCAACTAAAAAGAAAAGCAAGTCCCTGTTGAACAACTCCTGCTCTGAAAGCTTTTTACTAATTTTGACTCCTACCACATTTTATCATAAACACTTGATTCAAAACAGAACACCCATTTCTTTAGTTTAAAATGTCTGACTTTCCATTCTTTTTAAATTTTTTTCAGTAATCTAAAGAAAAAGATCAGCAACTATAAGGTTAAACAAAAGAGACATGAGACCTCCTCTACTACAATACTGAATGACCTGAACAACAACAGTCTTACTTCTTCTATTGTCCCGTTTGGTATGACTTTATACAAGAGTCATGTAATGCTGACAGAGAAAACTGAAGGAGAAAATGAAACTAAAAAAGGACACACCACACCTAACAGAAGCCACAAGTAAACAGGAATTAAACCTATCTGCAGAAATCCTCAGCTTGGGGTAATAATACATACTATGGAAAGATTGTCTGGCTTAATAAAAATACGCATTACTGATTGCTAAGCAGGTGAGGAACTTAGGTTAATACGTTAGAAAGCATAAAGAGCACTACAAAATCAAAGGGAAAAGCGGCCTTAAAATGACAGGCGACAATCAATGGAAAGCAATTCAACCAATTACAGTTACTGTGAGTACATTTTCCAGATTTACATTTTCTGCTGCTTAATCTTTTCTTAATTTAAGGAAGGTTTCCTCGTTACACTTTTAGGATACTCTTACTTTGAGCTTCAGATACAAAATGTGTAATGATCCTCTAATTCCTGAGAGTATTTTCCAAATAATAAATAAATGTTAACTTTTTTGGATGAATATTATCTCCCATTTCTCTTTCATCAATACCAACTTAAAATAAATTTAAAGGCAAACCATGAGAAATATCTGACAGCCTTCTGTAACTGCCTGCCAAGAACAGCAAAAACACCTTAAGCCACACTCCATCATCTCAACTTTATCACTTAGACTGTTCTTCCTTTAGTTGAAGTAGTAACAACCCTCTTATAATACAGCTTTTGGGGATAGTGATATGTTTATAGTTTCTCATCCTTTTTCTGTCACATTCAGTTCCAAAAGTGAACTGAAATATATTAATTTTCAAAATTGCTTTACCCCAGGGACTGAGGCAATAGCTTTGAGGACATGAATTCAACCCTCAGAACCCAAGTGAAAAGGCTGCCCTTGGTGGCACATGGCCACAGAGCAAAGTCAAAGCCAACCTGGGCTACATAAGAGGTACTGTGTAAGGCAAAAACAAAACAAAAAGGGGGGTGGTGGTGCATACTTTATTGTAATTCTTGAAGTGGAAAAAATGTCCCCATTGCAAAATAACAATTTTGTCAATGTAAACTTTTGAGTATTTGTAAGTTAAGAATCTGCCATGCTTTTCTTTTTAAAAGTTCATATAGGAATAGGAGCCATATACTAATAAAATAAAATGCAACACATGACTACAGTTATATTAGTGAATGCTAGAGTAATCTTCCCCTAGGAAACACAATATTGGGCAAAATGCCAGCTTCTGAACCATCCATTTGCAACTATGTGGCTTGATTACTTATGAAAGCCCTGTCTATCACCGACATAGGCATCCATCATGCATGTCTGTTTGGGACTAAATAAACTTTGTACACTCAGCAAGTGATAGTTATTATTAGTAAGAAACAAAGTGATCTGCTTGTTCTATCAGACAGACCAATATGCTGAAAAGTATATGGATTTCATATAAAACAAACCCTACATGAGAGGGGCAGAAAGTTCTTAGGAACACACACATAAATCCTACAGCAAATATAACAGTGTAATTTAAATAGTTAAGACGGCAACCTAACCACACCTGAATGCAAATTAGGCCATTCCTAATCTAGGGGATTTTACAATCAGTTTTTTGTCTTTTATTTCAGTCTGGCCCAACTTGCTTCCTCTTGTCTCTGTCTCCCACATACTGGATGGATTACCTATGTGTTCTTTCCCTACCAAGTACTTAGTATCATTTAAGGCGGTGGGACTAAGTATTAAGTTTATTAACCAACACAGTCACAGAAATAGAACTATTAGCAAAAGAATAATGGAGTACAGAGTCACAAAAAGTGAATGTGACCAGAAATCAGGACTCCAGTATGAGGGAAAAGTCAAACAATTAGAAAAATGAAACACAGAAGTCAAAACCAGGGTGTTTACTGACTCTTGCACCGCCAAGCACAGTACACTGACCTGATGTTTCTCTCTTATTAGTACAAAGGACTTTACATAGCATAGGATTGCAAGTGAGATTTCCACAGGTGTACGTTCAATATATAATAAAAGATAGTTTTTGTCTTTTGAGACAGGATCTTGCAATATATATAAACCTTGGGCTAACCTCAAACTCATAATCCTCCTGGCTTAGTCTCCCAAATACTGGATCACAGGTGTGTGCCACCATAACTAAGAGATTTTAATTTTTGATTTTAAGTAGTGGATTCTTTGTATGCTGAAACATGTCACTCTTTTTACATCAAAAACTGGGCCTTATAAAAAAAGAAGCTGAAACAATAAAATAACACATAAACATTATTTCAGACCATTCAGTGTGAGCTAAAGTATAGAGTATTGTGGAAGGAGGAAAATATTCAACAATCATGAAGGAGTCACTTCCCAAGCAGTGTCACTTGTTAAGCCAGTTTACCTGTCTTGCTATTATGACATTTCATTCTGAAGGATGCTTGTGCTGTGGCTAACTGTTCAAGTCTGGTGCTGACTGCTGTTCTTAGCCATCACAAAACATTAAATTCATGTAATTGGAGCTTCCTGCTGTTCCCCAGAAATGGTGGGAATGCTCAGATTTGTATATTCCCTAAAGTATATTAAAATAAAAAGAAACTATTGCTACTATTTAAAAAAGAATGACAAAAGGTTAAATAAGCTACTTTTGTTCTATACTTGATATTTTCATTTTTCATATTTAAGAGCATAAAGACTGATTCCTAACTACATTAAAAGTCCATGAGAATAATTCTTCACAACAGCAGAAATTTGTTTGAAAAAAGAAAATGGCCAGAGGCCAGAGGTTCTTATCATAGTCTGTTCTAGCAGATGACCCACAGGATCCTGGGAGACCCTACTACACTATTTGTGAAACCTTTATTAGGGAGCACCCCACAACGTATGCATAACAACAACTAATATTGAAATACAAGAATACCAGTTTAGCTCAATTATCATAGGTTCAATTAAACTGATGTTGCATGTCAAGCATATTTGTTGTAGTTTGTGTACAACAAATAACTTCTTTGAAAACCCAACATACAAGCTGCACAGTATATTCCCCTTTGTAATATGCCCATTAATCTTTGCACTATGTGTGTATGTGCACGTGTGCGTGTGTGTGTGTGTGTGTGTGTGTGTGTGTGTGTGTGTGTGTGTATGCATGTCTGTATGTATGCATAAAACTAACATGTATGAAACAGGCCAACATTATGTTTCATTTATATTTTTGTATACTTTGTAAATAGTTTCAGAAGGTTGGCCAAAAATATTAAGGAAGCAGCTGAACTATTATATTAAAGCAAATTATGAACAATGACGACAACAGGGTAAAGAAACATTGTGGAGGAAGACTATGAGAACGGTGAAAAGCATCAGAATGCTTATACATTATGACTATGCACATTGCTTCATCTGGGTTTCTCTCACATACTAAGTCTCTGCTAGGCGGCATACTTCATTGCCATCAATTTCATGAGAATTCTTAACATTATACAAACAAGACAGTGGACTACTGTTACCTTTTGGTTAACTGCTTAACAAAATGATGCAAAATGTGAAAAGATTATCCAACTGTTCAGCTTAATTTTCCCCTCTTTTCAGAATACAAATACACTAAGATGAAATTTTTCTGAAGTATTAACTAAACACAAATGCTGTAAAATTATAAAAAATAGTTTGAAGAAAACTAGAGTAAAGTCAAATGGGCCTTGACCAACTGAGTATATGTGATACATATTAGTGATAATCATGCATATCATGCAAGAGAAATTCAAACATCAACATAACTGATCAGATTATATATCAATAATCAAAAAGTACCAGAACTTTCTGAAAAAGTGAACAAAATATTTAAATGTTCTAGAGGCCAATGCTTCAGTCTATATAGAAAATGTTATAATGTATTTAGCTTTATAACTTCTATATTCACGTTAATACTGCATATAATAATTCTATATATAATTGACATAATATGTATTATAATAATTTATAAGAAACACTTACTGGGTAAATTTTTTGGAGGGATGGAAGGATGGGTTCAGGTAGGGCTATAAAAAGAAAAAGTTCAAAGCTTCTGTGATTCACATGATTCATATTACAATGCAAAGTTTTGTCAGCTACACCTCAGGTACGAGACCACAAGGGTTGAGACTAAAATTCAAATTTTCATGTAGTTCATGAAATATAGTTCCTAAATTTTTTAATTCATTTAAATTGACAATCTAAGGTTTTGTGAAAGAACTATGTATCTTCCTATGTAAATCAATGTTTCCTACAAGGTTTTAGAGTAGGAAGTCTACCAATAATGGTACACAAGTCATTCAATTAAACATCAAACACAAACAAAATAGGCAAAACAGAATTCTCAGACAAATTTGGAATGGACATTAAGATGAACTACCACAACATCTAATTTTGAGAGTGAGTTCAGCGTTCCTATACCATCAGTCCAATGTTCCTCTATCACAGAGAACACTGCCATCATTACTTACTGTCCCTTCATTATTTAATTCCTATTAACAAGCAATACTAAAATTATGATAAGAAAATTGAGCTATTTAAAAATCAAAACCAAAGTCACTTTCAACTTCATAACATTGCTTTAAGAATACCTCAATAAAGATTAGAAATCTAAATCAGGAGATTTGCACAGCCATCCTAGAAATATAAATAAAATACATCACAGAGGAATCATTATCCTGTTACTCTCATTTGAAATTAAATTTCTTTTCTTTCTTTTAAGGAAGGTCTCACATAAACCAGGCTGGTCTCAAACTCACTATTTAGCTGAGGATGACCTTGAATTTTGGGTCTTCAGGCCTCTAACTCCCAAGTTTCAGAATCACAAAAGTACACCAACACGCCCCTGTTCTGGCGTACTAGGAATAAAACCTATGGCTTCATGCATGCTAGGAAAACCCTCTACCAACAGAGCAACATCCTCAGGAAATTCACAATGCAATGAATTTTTAAGCACACCTAATCTCAATAAATGCATAAACAATCTCACATCATTACGAATGTAATGTAAAAGACAAGATACCTGTTATTCCCAGCATAACTCTAAATTATGTGGAGTATGATAAAATACCAGTGCTTTAATTCCAAGATGTCTTTCATATTAATGACCAAATACAGCAGTATACGATAAAGTTTGTACTTAAGAATAGGGTTTATATATAATTTAAGCTCAGTAACAAAGAATACCTAATACTTCCCTATCTAGAAAAAAAGTTTAAATGACCTCTGTACTACACTTACAAATATGTAATTAAGCATTACAACTAATTTATATGGCCTCCAACTCTTATTTCTAAAATGTAGTATAGAGTAGGATGATATATTTAAATCTTCCTTTTGTATGTTTCATTCCTAACTTGAAAATTGCAGTAAAACAAAATTTTGCAATATGAACATGTGCAGAGTATGAATGGGACTATAAAGAGAAATATTTAATTACTACTTACCAAAAATCACCCTTATGCGTAATGATATATACACACAGTCACACATACTTTCCCCAGAGGCATTCAGACATTTATCATTCTACAAGACCCTCCATGTAAATTCAAGCCCAGACACTTTAATTATAAATATCTCTATATTTTTACAACACTTTTAATGCTTTCTAATAAGTCTCATTATAATTCAGAAGTAAAATAGTGACTCTCTTACCAGGAATTAGTTTACTTAAAATTCCTTCCATTAAATTCTTCATAAGTTAAAAGTATTAGAAAACAAGAGATGAAGACAACAAATTCACAGAGAATTTTATCACATTCTATAATCATTATTTGGAATGACAGGGGAGAAAAATACCAACCACTGGTATTTAGAGTCATTCAACGAATAAAAGAACTTTAAAAGTTAAGGAATTGAGAAGGTTTGGAAGCAAATACATTGTGGTGGTTGGAGTGAGAATGGTCTCCAAAGACTTGTATGTTGGACTAGGTCCCCACTTGGGAAGGATTTGGAAATTCGCTCTTGCTGGAGGAGGTGTGTCACAGGGGTGGGCTCTGTGCACTCCTGCTGCCATGCCTTTGCTCCACTATCATGGGCTCTAACCCTCTGAAGCCATAAGCCCAGTTAGCTGCTTTCTTTTCTAAGTTACCTTGGCTATGGTCTTTTGTCATAGCAACAGAAAAGTAACTAAGACACAGGTTGGTACCAGGGAGTGGGCTATTGATGTGACAGACCTGACCATACTTTTTTTGAGGAATGTGGATTTGGGACTTAGATCCAGGAAAGTGGTTTAACGCTCTAAGTAGATTTTAATGGACCATCCTAACAGGATCTCAGGACAATAGTACTGAGAGCTATGCTGACTGTGAAGGCCCAGGAGGTTTCAGGGCTGAACAGTATTAGCAACTAGGCTAGAAACCATTGTGATATTTTGGCAGAGAATGTAGCTGCTGTTTCTTATCATATGGATTTCTCTTGAGGCTAAATAGAAAAGTAACAGACTAATTCCTTTGGCAGAGATTTCAAAACAGCCTAATATTGATTCTGTGGTATGGTTATTAATTATCACTCTTACGCAGTTCTATAATGAAAAAGAACACTTGGAGCAAAAAGAAATATAAAATACACAGCTGGAGGGGAAAATGAGCACCAGAAAAGTTAATGTTGGAGCTAAGGCTATGCTGAAAGAGATGAAAAGATCAAAGAGAAGCTTGATACGGAATGGAATAAAGGGAAGCATGCCCTCAGGGCAAGACCCCAACCAGCTAAGCGTACAACTAATAAAAAGGAAAGACCTAAGAAATTTTCTGCTCCTAAAAAGTAACAACAAAGGAAAACTGCAAATGTGATTCAAGGGAGCCTGGCTCCATCTCAAGCAGGCAGTCAAACTTGGCAGCGTTGTCCACATGGTTCTGGCTTTAGAATCAGGAAGGATGCATGAGTAAAGAGCAGTTAAGTTGAGCCACTCAGCCCAAGCATGTCCCAGGGAGTCTCTGCATGGAAACCTGGAGAGGCCACTCACAAAGCTATCAAAGGGAAGACAGGAGTGCACTGGAGACCCCAAGATGTTGGAAATACCAGAATCAAGAGACATGGCCAAGAAGAGCTGCACATAAAGAATATAATGAGCCCAAGAGAGAGATGTATGCGTCAGGCAGCAAAGAAAGAAGGACAGAAGCATCTAATCCCTTTGACAGCAGACACAGCAACAGCGTTTGGAGTTTGCCCTGCTGGGTTTCAATCTTGCTTTGGTCCAGTATTTCCTCACTATGCCCCCATTCCTCCCTTTTGGAATGGTAATGTATATATTCTCTGTCACTGTATGTTGGAAGTCATGTAATTTGCTTTCTGAAAATGCGGAACAATTTAAAAATGGATGTAGAGAAGTTCTGCCCCAGGAACATGCTAGCTGATCATAAATATTCTTATTTCTACTCAACTGATAATTTTACCTCAGTAACTCTTCCTCTTAGACTGTCTTTGGAATCTCTTCTCAGTATTTTTCCTCTTACACTTTGATCAATCATGTATTGAAACAACTGTTACTGACTACTAACATATATCATAAGAAATGCTATGGTCTTTTTAATCTTTCAATATTCAGAACTACTGTTTCCTTCATGGCAAAAAATATGTATTAGAACACTTAGAAAGTTAAATAATAATCATTTATCCAACAACTTATGTTACAGATAAGAATATGAAGGCCAAAGAGATGAAATAATATCATCAATATCATAAAAACTGGTCCTCGGTGCCAAAGGCTGAACCACGTCAGTCTCTTGCAGGCCATTTTCCCTCCCAATAAAGTGATAACAACAAGGAAAACAACTACCTATCTCAACAGTAATTTGAGGGGGGGAGTAGTGGATTAGCTTAAGTTACATATCATATAAGTGGTTTTTACCTACAAAGAGCTGATAATAGTGTCAGTACACACAAACCACTTCAGTAAGAAACCAAATCTTAAAATAATTTCATTATTTTGATAAAATATTAATTCTTGATGAATTTTCAATTTGTTTTACAAATCACCCTAAAGTTCCTCCACTTAAAGTACATTTTCTAATAAAGCAGTCAACCAATTAAAATCTTAATGTGACCAGTAAGGATAGGAACAGGGCATGTATCAGAGATACATTTACATATATCAGAGAAACAGACATGAAATATAACAGAGATGCACGTTAGACAGTAAATATAATTTTTGAATTACTACCAAAATTAAAATGATTCAACTCTGGAGGATATTGTAATTTCTGTATTACTCTTTATAGAATACATAAGAAATCCTTTGAATTCTTAATAAAAATGAACTGTGATACAAAAGATGATAGCAGTCCTGAAAAGCTTATCTAAGAGCTGATACAACTGGAAAACTGGGAAAAATTATTAGTGACAATGATATATAGAATAGGTTAAAACAAGACAAATCACATTCCATATCATTTTAAAAGGGCAAACCAATCATCAAATCAACATATAACCAGGACAGATCAGCAAGAAACACAATTATGATTAGCTTAAGACACTGGCTTTAACAAGGGAGAGGGCAGTATCAAGTCTTTCTGACGACTCATCTAGAAATGTTTGGTGTACTTAAACAATTTTAAGTCTTTTTATAACTTGAAAAAAATTCTTTAGAATTCTATGTTCAAATGAAGAGGACTGACTATCTTGCTTAATATAGAAAACACCTAATATTGTTGTATAATAAATATTAGATAAAAGTTTTAATTTTCTATTAAAAATTGGCAAAATTTTGACTCATACCTTCTCAGTATTTCCACACATATGAATATATAAACAAATGTAGTTATTCTTTAAACAAAATTATTGATATTATGTTGTATAAGACAATATTCAAGAGTATATATGTATCTTTAAAAAATATAAAAAACCTGCTGGTGTCTATATAGTTTTCATATTATGATATACCATACTTAATTTAACTATTCCATTCTTGAAAGCTCAGATTCCTTCTTTTATTATTTCAATAAACACTATGAAAACATTTTTATATATAAATCTGTTGATCATTGTCTTAGGATAAATCTCTGGGAAAAAAACTAGAGTCAAAATATATGAACTCTGTTATGTCTTTCAGAATCTACATGCAGAAAGCACCAAACGACACACTAAAGCTTTTTCTAAATCACTACACTGGCCTTGTTGGTTAAGACCACATGATAGTATGCCGACAGTACTGCACACCTTTAATCCCAGGACTCAGGAGGCAGAGACAGGCGAATCTCTGTGAGTTCGAGGCCAGCCTGGTCTACAGAGAGAGATCCAGGATAGGCATCAAAGCTACACAGAGAAACCCTGTCTCGAAAAAACCAAAAAAACAAAAAGACCACATGATAGTGACAGTGATCTAACAGTACCTCCCCTCACACAGGCAACTTACAGTATGGGGGTAAAAGGTAGCATTCTGTTAGTAACCCACCAGCCATAACAGTCATTAATAATGCTTATGGTGCTATTCATTTGTTTTTGTTTTTCAGACAGGACCTGGCTATAAAGCCCAGGCTTACAACTTTCTTATCTAAACCACCAAAGTGTTAGAATTACAGGAATGTATCACCACACATAGTTAATGAAGTTATTTATAATTAAGTGTGCTACTCAGCAATTAAATATCTCAGACTCTTAGTTGGGATAACTATAAATCTTCAGTTTTCTCTTCTCTAGCATCTAGCTGAGTAAAATATGTAGAATAAGTTATTTATTGGACGGCCTATACAAAACATTAAATACAAAAGTAAAGGTTCCATCCAGAGTTCATCAGTCTGCACTGTATTTCTGGGGAAATTCACTACTGTAAGTTCTCAGAGCCACATTATGAAAGGGCAAAAATTACAAGTGGTCACATTATAATTTGCCACTAAGCATAGAACAAATATATGGCTTTATCAAAATGACCTCATAAACAATGGTAATTGTTTGAATTAAACTGAATTAAAATCTAGAGACCAATTTGGAATTTGAGAGCTGATTTAGAGGTTCATCGGGGGACCAGAGTTTTTTGTATATCCTTGAGCCAAGAATGGTCCTCCTCTTTCTGAGAAAGTCATCTTCTCAGACTGTGCAGTTCTAAATGGGTACACACGAAGGAGCATGGGAAGAGAGGGTAGCCAGCCACATTATCCAAAGGAACCAGCAACAACAGGGCGACAGATGTCTCAGCCAGGCTACCCTCACGTCCTAGAGGCCAAGCTGACAGAATAACCCAGCAAACATAAAACCTAATTGAGGAGAAGGGGCCAAAGGGGATTGATTATAAACTTCTTGCCCAACAAGAATATCATTTAATTTCTGTCTTGTAAGCCACTCAAGGTCCCACCTCTGAGGACTTCCAACCACCAGGCCCTAAGCTCTGCCCTACAGAGCAAAAGCCCAAGATCAGGCCATAAAATCTCACCAATCCCTGAGCTCTCCCCAAGATCAGGCCACAAAATCCCACCAATCCCAGACCACCCTGGAAAACTCCACCCCCCAAAAGCCCTATATAAAATCTACCCCTTGCTCCCCAAGCAGAGGCAGCCACTCTCCTGTGTTTTTCCCAATAAATCTCTTGTGTTGTGACTTTGTGGTGTTTCTTAGCTCCCAACTGCCAGGATACCTTTCCCTTCAGTGCTGGTGACACATTGGGGATACCTTTCCCTCTCATGTCTCAAACAAAAAAACAGTCTTTCTGAGCACTCATCTGTTGCAAAACAATGGATCAACAATACAATGGTGAAAGTTCTTTAAATATAAAAGTGCATAACAAAACTATCAAAAGATAAAAGCACATTAAAATTTCTTCACAATGTTTTTCAGAGAATAAAACTTCTACAATATTAGTTAAAGGCAACAGAACAGGATTAAAAAGTTGTATAGGCCTTAGAAAGAGAACTTTTTAAAACAACACAAACTGGAGATGAGCAAAAAAGATACTGCAGTGAGGTTTATCTGAATTTCGGTTTTAGAAAGTGAAAAACTCTCATAATACTTACTTTGTAAGTAGTGCAAAACCATCAGTACAAGACTGTAGCTGCTTAAAGTACCACGACTGGCATCGTTTATATCATGGTGACTTGCCCACTTCTTAATCACCAGCACTAACGGACGAACTCGATTTTCCACTGCAAGTAAAATAAACACTTAAAAAGGACATCACAGTTTCTCTGAAAATGTATAATTTCCTAATTCTATGCCAGTAAGAGGCACTGCTTCTCTCCATACTAAAGGTAGAGCTCACTCTCAATGTGTTACTTATAAGCTTACCTTAGTTATTTTTAAATCATCATTCACTTAAAAACACTGAATCATCTATAACTACAGTAGCATATGATTTTACTATAGTAACATTATCAAAAAAATAAGATACTGTATACTAAACACAAGTAATGGGGTATTGCTATTTACTGTAAACACAGTTCAAAGGCCATAGAGAATACAGGAAAAACAGAAGCTGATGGTTATTTAGAAACAAACAAAAACTTACGGTAGGCATAAGTTCTGAGAAGGAATGTGTTTCTAATTCCAACGGTATTGTTTACATTTAAGTCAAATTCCACACAACTATTTAAAAGAACAAAGGAAAGCACACTTTAGCACAAGTACAAAAATCCACTCTTTCTATTAACTAAAGTGATTCCAATCCATCCACTGATGCAACATGGACTGAAAGCCATAGACTGTGTTTTTAAAATGAGTCACTAAAGAAGGAAGAATATATATACAGTATATCACTTAAACTTATTTGGTATGTTTTAAAAATATAAACTAAGATTACTATTTGAAAGATCCATAATATACTGATGTTTCTAATTACTCCAAACGAAGTTTTAAACGTTGTAATGTTTTCTAAATAAATAAAATCACATGACCAAAGTGTAGAAGATGTAGACCATCCCACTAAGATATATCTTCTCAAAGCACAGGCTTACCTACTTTCAAACAATACAAACAAAATGCAAGTTAAAAAAACAAATGCAGGTGCTGATGATCTGGGAAATGATGCAATATTCAAAACATCACCAATGGGATGCTTCTTTGAAGCAAAGATACCCAACTCACAACTTAGAAAACAGGGCAATTATTGTTAGAATCTACAAACAAGGAAGAATTACTTTATAGAAATTAGTTCCACTCATATTCTACTGGGTCTAATTTCTTTGAGTACTATAGTTTTCTATGAAAAGACTACCAAAAGAGTAACAAGATGATTCAGCGAATAAAGGTGTTTACCGCCATAGCCTAAGTTCAATCCCCTAAGACCCAAAGATGGAAGAAGAAAACTAAGAAGTGACCTCTGCATATATACCACAGTGTGCTATACATGCATGTGTGGACACACATATACTAAATAAATGCCCCCCAAAAAACATTATTGTAGTGGTATTTGCTCCACCCATGACCTTGGACTATATGCCTGAAGGAGGTGGTGCTACTTGCTGTTATATATGACCTCTTAAAAGGAAAAGGAGAGGGTCATGAACCCCTTCTCCCCGCTGCCTGCTTCCTGGTCTGACTGAACCCCCAGGTGGATTCCCTCCCAGTCAGAACAGGGGACGACTTCAACTGTTTACTCGGTTCTGTATTCAAGAGGGTATTTCTTCAATTTATATCTTAATAAATCCCTATTATCCATTAAATAGACTCACGTGGATTGATATTAACAAGTGGTAGATTAAAAAAAAGAGAGGTGGCTCAGTAGTTAAGACCACTGACTGATGTTCTAGAAAAACCAGGTTCGATTCCCAGGCTGTCGGGTGTCTGATCAAGCCAGGATTTTAAAAAAGGACCCACATGACCCCTCTCCCTTTCCTTTTAAGAGGTCACGTATAACATCAAGAAGCACCGCCTCCTTCGGGCCCTATAGCCCAAGGTCATGGGCAGAGCAAATACAACTACAAATTATCAAAAACAAAATGCCAGGCTTACGATGATAATGCATGCTCTAACCCAGCACTTGGGAAGCCAAGGCAGAATTGGGAATCTGAGGTCAGTCTGAGCCATGTGAGAGATCTTATCTCAAAAAAGTTAAAAATTTCAAAAAAGTCCATCAATTAATTAATCAATTCCTTTCTATATGTTATTACAAAATCTGAACTTTTTCTTATGTTTTTCCTTCTTGAGGAGCCAAAAAGAATTTCACAAGCATCCCTTCATTTCTATTCAGAGTCAATGGATAGTGGTGCACGTGCTGCCAAGATATAAGCAGCCAGCTTTGGGAAATGTAGGCTGACAACAATTACAATCTTGATGTTTGTGTAAGAAACACCAAAGTCAAATTATATACCCTCTGCATAACTCAACACAGCCATGAAGGTAGAAACCTGTAGAATTTAATCTTTTGAAAAGGCGCTGAAGAAAAACGTCAGCAGTAGATTACTCACTTCCTTGCATACTTAACGCCCTATGCAAACATTCTCCAGCACTAGCAGAAAAATAATTTTCCACCAGGCAGTGGTGGCACACGCCTTTAATCCCAGCACTCAGGAGGCAGAGGCAGGTGAATCTCTTTGAGTTTGAGGCCAGCCTGGTCTACAAAGCAAGTTCCAAGATAGGCTCCAAAGCTACACAGAAAAACCTAGTCTTGAAAAAACAAACAACAAAAACAACAACAAAATTTAAAAATATGAACTGAATACCCATTTATCATGTTTCCTCCACAGGACATATCACAGGTTTCTCACACTTATGAACTACTACAAAATTAAGTTTAAGACCATTCTAAGCAGTGAAAAAGTGCTAGCTAGACTGTGACAAAGGGCATTTGTCTCCACATGAGAAAGCTAAAACAAGAAGACAGAATGTCACCTTATTCAATCTCACTTGGGACCACAGGTATTAAACTAGCCCCAAATTTTTGACACACCTTGAACAATACAGAAAGAGAAAATTTTAGAAAGAAAACAATTCTTAAATGTAAAATTTATAAATAAGAAAGCTCAGTTCTGTATAAGCACATGCATATAACTTCAGTGTTACCACTATAAACAGCTAGAAAAATAAACCTGCTTTATCACAATCCTGTTTAGAAAACATTTATAAATCTTTTCAACAAATCAAATCTCAGTGTACACTTAACTTTTCTTATTTCTACTTCTCTGCTCATTTGTTCTGAGACAGACACTCACTAGTAGCCCACACTGTACTTGAACTCATCATCCTGCGGCCTACAACTCCTAGTGCCATGATTACAACACTTGATTGTACCATTTGCATTCTTGTAGTCAAATGTTATATAAAAGCTTCTAACACAATATTCTTAAGAAATCAGAACTCATGCCGGGCTGTGGTGGCACACGCCTTCAATCCCAGAACTTGGGAGGCAGAGCCAGGAGGATCTTTGTGAGTTCGAGGTCAGCCTCGTCTACAGAAAGAAATCTAAGACAGGCACCAAAACTACACAGAGAAACCCTGTCTCAAAAAGCACCGCCCCCGCCCCCCAAAAAAAAGAAAGAAAAGAAATCAGAACCCAGGCTAGGAGAATATAAAGAAAAATTAAAATTTTGAAACTGAATAATTGTTATCACTTTTGTCTGTATTATTCCCTGTACTCTTTATATCTTTTTCTAAGTGAAATACAATTTGTTTAATAATACTTAGAGTTAGAACAAACCCTTTGAATATAAATACACACTGAATTTTATTTTTTTTTATTATTTTTTTTTTTTTTGGTTTTTCGAGACAGGGTTTCTCTGTGTAGCTTTGCGCCTTTCCTGGGACTCACTTGGTAGCCCAGGCTGGCCTCGAACTCACAGAGATCCGCCTGCCTCTGCCTCCCGAGTGCTGGGATTAAAGGTGTGCGCCACCACCGCCCGGCCCACACTGAATTTTATCAAAGAAGGTATGTTTTGGGGAAAGAATTACTTATCCTAAAGACATAAGATCTCTTAAACAAGGTCCTCACTATTTTAAACAAGGCCTGGATCTCATTGTAAAGACCAGAGATTCTCAACCTATAAGTCGAGACCCCTTTGTGGTCACCTAAGACCATCTGCATATCAGATAATTACAATATGATTCATAACAGTAGCGAAATTACAGTTACGAAGTAGCAACAAAAATAATGTTATGGTTGGGGGTCACCACAACATAAGGAACTGTATTAAAGGGTTGCAGCATTAGGAAGACTAAGAACCACTGATATAGACCAAGCTGGGCTCGAACTCAGAGAAATCAACATGCAAGTATGTGCCATCATGGTAGGCGACAAGAAAATCATTTTAAAACCCAAATACTTTTTATACTGGATAGTCCCAAATTCTCAAAATTGAAGCAGAGTAAATCAATTCAGTTAAGCATGAAGACTGCTCAGATTATTAAAAAATAATAATAATAATTTAAAAGACGGTAGGTGTAGTGGCACCCAAGTACAATCCCAGCACTCAAGAAGTGGAAGCAAAAGATTCTAAAATTCAAAGCTGTCCCCAGCTATATGACAAAGTCACAGCCAGCCTGATTCATGAGACTGTCTCAAAAAAATAAAAATAAAAATAGGAAAAAGAAAATTATTTCTAAAACCTTGAAGATAAGCTGCTGAGCTATAACCTGATTTCTTGGCTATCCACATTAGATGACTATCCAAGATTAATCTAAAGCACCTGAAAAAAGAGGGATTGGTAATTATTTACCTGACTTTATCCCTGAACTTCACAATTGGCACTTTTGCACGAATCAGCTGAGGTCTCTCAATGTAGCCAGCTGAAGGAGAAAAGATCATGTGAGTATCTACCAATGTTTCCCCACTCACAATATTCTAATGCAGTTTAAAAGTAGTATATTGTTAAAACCAACTTAAGAACATGCTGTCCTTGAAAAAGAAGGACACAAAGAGAGTTCTAGGAAGCCAGGGCTACACATTGAGACCCTATCTGAGAGAGAGAGAGGGGAGGGAAAAAGTGGGGGAGAGAGAGAAGGCGGGGGAGGAGAGAGAGAGACAGAGACAGAGAGAGACAGAGAGAGAGACAGACACACACACAGGGCGGAGGTGGGGTGGGGATGGGAGTGAAAGGAAGGAAAAGAAGGAAAGACAGACAGACATCAAGTCCTTCTAAGGGTCAAGTCTATACTATTTAAAATGCTTTAAAGTTTTTTGATTTTGAAATAAAATTTTAGTATATAGTATATAGTAGTATCTATAAAGAGCAATTTTAGTATATAGTAGTATAAAGACATTCATTGGAACATCTAAGTAAAAAAATTAGCTAAAAGTAAGGAAATAGCTAAATTCTGGTATGACTCACAGTAAAAACAGTAGTCATTGAAATCTGCTGTAATATGCAAATGTTTGCAACTTGGTAAGGCAAGAATACATTCAATTATGCATGATCTCAAAGAGGATAAAATACATAAACACACATTTTTAATTTCATCAAAGGTATAAAAATGCATTGTAGAAAACAATACATGTAAATTGCAGAAAATTAGGAACTTATAGAATTAAAACTGAAAAGACAGCTCAGTGGTTAAGAGCACATACTGCTCTTCCTGAGGACTTGAGTTCAGACCCCAGCACCCACATAGGGCAGCTCCTAACCAGCCTGCAACTCCAGCACCAGAGGATCCAACACCCTCTTCTGGTCTCCACAGCACCTGCACTGTTCACATACCCACACATAGACACATAATTAAAAACAAAAGAGAAGTAGTTTTTAAAAAAATCTACAAACATTTATCACTGGAGCAATATTCTAAAGTGTTAACTATAGAAAAGGAAAATACCGGATTTTCTTTTTTAAAAGCTAAAAATTTTGTTGTTAGCATTTTTGGTAGGGAGGGTCAAGTCTGATGTTCTCCTCCATGTACATATGCAAGTACACATGCATTTGTGAGTTCATGTGTGTGGAGTCCAGAGGTCAAAATCTAGTATCTTTTTCTTTCTCCCACTTGTTTTTTGAGATAAAATCTCAATGAATCTGATGCTCAATAACTGGACAGACTGGATGGTCAGAGCCAGGATCCCTGTCTCTGCCCCACGCCTGACCCTTAGTGCTGGGGTTATACACATAAGCTAACCACACCCAGAATTTTCACATGGGTGCTAGAGATCTGACCTCAGGTCCTCATGTTTATCCAGCAGACACTTGACCTATGAACTTACCCCTCTCCTCTAGACCCAAGCATGCTTGTTTAAAGGTTTCCTCTAAAATCTTTATCCCGCATCAGGCAAACCACCTGACTAAGTAACAGAGAAAGGAGAGCAGAACAAAATAAAGGGACAGACTATTCCCAAGGGGGACTACTGCTACTCATTTCACACTCTTGGTTAGGGTTTAACTTTCTAAAACTTTAAGATATAACTCTTATCTCAAGATTTGTAAGACTATTGTGTTAATTTTCTGTACCTCAAGATTTGCAAGCATACTGGGTATGATTTAAAATCTGTGAAATCTGTAACAAAAAGGTTAACTTGAAACTTGGTAGTTAAAGATCTATAGACAGGTAATCTTAAAGTAAGCCTGTGGCTTGCCCTCATCTTAGCTGCTGTCCCCACATAGGGATGGAGGCAACCACATGGCTGACAGCCATCTTTGCTAGGGTTGGAAAGGATAGATTTTGCCGTGTGACTTCACTCCCATCTTGATCAAAACTGACCACATGGTATAAGGCAACCAAGGAAAAAACAACTCCTAGCTACGAAGCCCAAACTAGATGATTCCTCCGTTATTTTCGATTGCGCTAACCCCTTCCAGTCTCAAGCCAGTCACTTCTCTCCCTCTCCAACCTCTTCAGTCTCCCTTTCTCCCTCCTTAGCGGCAGGTCATCTGAGTCAATTCTCCCTGGCACCTACCTAGTTTTAGTCCACCAGCAGCCTCTAGTCCTCCCGCTACTCCCTCCTGCTCCACTTTGGGACCCCCTTCACCTCCTCCTACCTGGACTAAACTGGCCACGTTTCTCCCTTTGCAGGAGTTGCCTAGGTGGATCACTTGTTCAGGGTACCTGTTCCTTCTCATTAATTACCTCTCTCAAACAGAAAAGAGATTAGGGTCCTACACTGCTAACTCTTCCACCTTTATTAAAAATTCCAATATATTACCCAATCTACAACCTCACCTTCCATGTTTATATGATTCTCACCAACAATCTTCCTGAAGAGCATAGGCTAGAGGTCAGGCTAGAGCACATGCAGATTGAGTCCAGACAACTTGCCCCCTGGTCTGTCTCTATAAGCCTGCCCTTAAAGTTCTACTTCTTCTCCCAGTTTCCCTGACATGAGGGCCAAACTGTAGCATCTAGAGAGGGAGCCCCTGACTCCCCAGGCAGAAGTCTTAGTGATGGCTTTCAAAGTGTACCATGGGAGAGATGAAAAAGTCTGAAAACAAAATACTTGATGCTAGCTAAGGCCTTTTGGCTAGTCACAGCAACTGCCCAGGCTCGCTATACCTCAGATGTGGTCAGGAGGGTCACTAAGCCTGGATTTGCCTGAGCCCTCATAAACCACCTCAACCATGTCCAAAGTGCCATCAAGAGGAACACTGGGTCATTAAATGCTCCCATGTCCCTCTCAGCAAGATGATATCAAGCCCAGATTGCCGTCCAGCCAACCTCCTAGGTCTGGCCATGGATGACTGAGGGGGCCTGGTCTCCCTTGGCCCAACCACAGCCATCTCTGACAGGGAGTCTCCAGTAGTCACCACAATATCAGGGCGATCCATCTCCTTCCTTCTGGACACTGCGGTTACCTACTCAGTCCTGATGGAGTTTTGAGGACCTACCTCTCCTTTTAATTCCCGTATTGTTGGGGTAGGGGGACAGCCTTAACAATCTCACAAAACCCTACCACTTAGTTATATTTTTAGCAGAATTCCCCTTGCTCACTCCTTCCTAGTGGTACCAACCTGTCCCATCCCCTTGCTGGGAAGGGACCTCTTAGCCAAAGTGGAAGTCTCTATTTCCTTCACTCCCCAATCCACTTGACTCCAGGTTCACTGGCTGTTATCCTCCTCCTTCTCCTCCAAACCACACAATCCGACACATGGTTTGTTCCCTTTACCAGCCTCCCAGGTGGACCCCTGAGTACGGGACACCCCAAATCCCTCTATAGCCAAACATCATTCCCCTCCTGTCACCCAACTGCAAAACCCTATCAATGACATCACACGGGCTCAATGCCCACTCTCTCCAAATCTCAGGGGACTTAAGGCTCTTATCTCTGGACCTCTTAAAGAACCTTCTGCACTCCACTTCTTCCCCATTTACTACTCGCATACCCGTGGTTTAAAAACCCAATGCACCCTATTGCTTGGCTCAGGATCCCTGACTTATCTACTCAGCAGTGGTTCCCCTTCACCCCATACTCCCCAACCCCTATACTCTCCTCCTCGGGGACCTCTCATTTCTCCATCCTAGACCTCAAGGATGCTTTCCTTTCTATTCCTCTGGACCCCAAGTCACAAAATATCTTTCCCTTTACTTGGACTGACATGGACACTCACCTTTTTACTCACTTGGACCATCCTACCCCAGAGGTTCCACATCCCACATCTACGAGGCAGGCTCTAGCTTCTGACTTACTCTCTTTCTCTCTCCCTAAATCCAAGCTTATACAATACATAGATGATCTTCTCCTTTGTAGTCCATCCCTGCAAATTAGCCAGGCAGATACCTCTACCTTATTAACCTTTCTGTCCAGCCAGGGATATAGGGTCCCATCCTCTAAGGTCCAGCTGTCGACTCCTCAGGTTACTTATCTGGGATTAGCTATTACTACAACTCACAAAGCCATTACCCTAGATAGGAAACAGCTAATTCAATCGATTTTGGTCCCTACCACAAAGAACAAAATTCTATCCTTCCTAGGGATGGCTGACTTTTTACACTCTTCTGCTGTGGGATGGTCTGTATGTCAAATGTGTTGCTGATTGGTCAATGAATAAATCACTGATTGGCAGTGGCCAGGCAGGAAGTATAGGCGGGACTAACAGAGAGGAAAATTGAGAGAACAGGAAGCTGGGGAGGGAGACACTGCCAGCCGCCATCAGGACAAGGAAGATGTAAAGTACCGGTAAGCCACAAGCCACGTGGCAAGGTATAGATTAATAGAAATGGATTAATTTAAGCTGTAAGAACAGTTAACAAGAAGCCTGCCACGGCCATACAGTTTGTAACCAATATAAGTCTCTGTGTTTACTTGGTCGGGTCTGAATGGCTGTGGGACTGGCGGGTGTCAGAGATTTGTCCTGACTGTGGGCCAGGCAGGAAAACTCTAGCTACACTCTTCAATCCTTTTTTCTCTCTTCTCTCCTGCCCTTTACATGAGGCAGCTCTTGGCCCCTCACACAAGCCCCTTCTTGTGTCCATTACCAAACCCTTTCACAAGCTTCAACAGGTCCTCCTCCAGGCCCAAGCCCTACATCTTCTGGACTTAACTCACCCCTTCTCTCTCTCTCTCTTACAAAAAAGGAGGGATATGTCCTCAGCGTCCTGGGTCACTAACTGGGGTCTTCCTTTGTGCCCACTGCATACTTATTTTGACAAGTACTAGACCATGCTATCCAAGGATGGGCACCTTGTCTACACACTCTGGCCACAGCGGAACTTCTTACACATGAATCAAAGAAGTTAGCACTCAGGTCACCAATTACTATCTTCTTGCCTCACCACTGTCCCACCTTCTAACTTCAAACACTAGCCCTTTCCCAGGTGCTCTCTAGCATAAGTAGAGGACATCACACTTACCTTTCAGCCATGCCCACCTCCACTACCATTTCAAAATCTCCCCCCAAGCAATCCCAGAATACTCCCTCCCCATTTCACTCTTCAACTGATACCCTAAAGAGTCATTACCCAGTCCCTTGAGACCCAGGCAGCCAAGCTTCACCCTATAGAATAAAAAGCCCAAGATCAGGCCATAAAAATCCCACCAACCCCAGGCCACCCTGGAAAGCTCTGCCCCCAAGAAACCCTATATAAAGCCTGCCTCCCACTCAGATCTCTGCTGTTTCTCTCCCAAGCAGAGGCAGCTACCCTCCTGTGTCTTTCCCAATATCTCTCTGTGAGTTTTGTTGTGCAATGGACTTTGTGGTATTCCTTGGCTCCCAACTGCCAGGATCCCTTTCCCCTCAGGGCTGTAACACTTTCACCTAGTAGACCATGTCTATCACATTTCTGGCTACTCAGATGTTTGCCTTACAGCTAGCTGTTCATTCCTAACGGTCTATAACCTTTGGAGAGAAAGAAGGGAAGCTTATGTACCTTCAAATCTCAAGATGCAGTCCACAGAATATTTTTCAAGTAAGTTCAATAATGATTTGTTAAATCATGCTTTTTAACCAAAAGTTAAAAGTAGTCAAAACTTAAGAGAAGAGGGGCATGATATACACACCTGTCACCCCAGAACTCAGAAGGCTGAGGCAGGAGGATCTCAAGTTCAAGGCCAGCCTGGGCTATATATATTTATATACTGCAAGATCCTATTTTAAAAAGAAAAAGTTTAAAAGAATTTAATTAGAAGAAAACAATCCACATTATATCTAGTCTCATCAGAAAAATTCTTACCAGAAAAATTAAGTGACCAACATTTTAAATAATCGTTATGTCAGAAGGCATGCGAGACTTACAAAGTCTAGTACAGAAGTGTTTATGGACTAAGGTGAGTATATGGCGTGCTTCAGTCTTCTGATTTACCTGAAAAAAACACTGAAAAGTTAAAGTGTTTTTTCATTATTTTTTCTTAGCTTAGTGTTTGATTTTTTTTTCAAGTAACACAACAGCAAAACACAAAACATATTTTTCTTTCAAATTATTTTTCAAAATAACTACAGAAAGTCAACTCTCAATAGTTATCTTCCAGATCTACATTTCAGAATCGACATTTTTTTTATTTGAAAACAACCCTGTCATTTTTCTCTTTTATATAAATGGTGTTAAAAAAAAATCTCTTCCAGCAAAATTTAACAAAACCTTAACTTTGCAGCATGTTTTATTTCCTTACCAAGACTGTGAAGTGCTTATGGATTAAATACAATGTAGAGTCCTTCTGTGTGTAAGCTGGGGCAATATGACTTCAGCATGTGGTGAAAACCACAGAGCTAGTAAGACATGCCTGAGTGAAGTCTAGCTGCATGGCTTGCAATCTCCATTACAGTGACATTTAAGGGTTCTTTAGCTTGCTTCTTTTTCCCCCTTTTCTTTTCCTTTACATTGTCTCAAAGCACAGAAAAACAGCAGATTCTTTCCTGGAATAAACCTGTTGTTCTTTTACAACAACCAGAAGAATAAAATTACCCATTATAATTCAAAAGATTTTGTTTTGTTTTGGTTTGGTTTTTAGGAGGAGGTGGAGAGTTGAGACAGGGTTTCTGTCTTGGACCTCTTTTTATAGGCCAGGCTGGCCTTGAACTCACAAAGATCCACCTGCCTCTGCCTCCCAAGTGCAGGGATCAAAGGCGTGCGCCACCACGCCCGGCTTGTTTGCATTTTAAGGCTATACATCATAGCATGAAATATTAAAATTATACTCAATTTAATCAAAAAGTATGGTAGTTTAAAAGAGACCTCAACAACTACAAGAGGCTACACTGAGTAAGTTTACTGAATATCTATTATGAAAATACTAAGATATATTCAAAAGATCAATTAACAGGAAATCCAAATAAATATAATTCTAAATAACACAATTTGGTTGTTAAATAAAAATAAAACCAGAAATAAAGTATCTTAGAAAAAACTGTTAAATATAATAAATCACAATAGTCTTACTTTAAATTTCATTGAAGTCTTGTTTTCAAGAAAACAAACAAACTCAAAGTGGGGGCGGGTTTAAAAAGGGATCACTGAGAATTTAAATGGAAAGAAACTATTATCAAGAAGATAATACTGCCATATGCTTTGCTTTACTGCATCCTGTAAACACTCAACCCACCCAGTGACATTTCATAGTAAGAGGCAACACTTCCAAAACCACACACTTCAAAGCTAGCTCACTTCAACCCCTCAGAACTGGAGCTGCTCTTAAGCACACCATGCTGTGCCTTATGAGTGTGGGGCAGGGGAAGAGGTCCTTCTACAGCTAAACAGAAAATTCAAATAATTATTAAAATAATTCAAGTTCTATTCCTTAACTGACGTAACATGAGAAATGGATTTGGAATGTCTCATCACTTACTGGTTCTTCTTTAACAACTAAGCATAAATCGCCATCACTGCTCCGGGCACCAAATCCGTTTAAAGATGATCCAACCAAAAAAAGTCTGCTTTCTAGAGAAGCAGAAGAAAACAGTAAGGAAGTCTGCAGTTTGTAACTAGGAACGTATGGACAGGAAGGGCATGCAGAGTCTGCTTTCTAGAGAAGCAGAAGAAACCAGTAAGGAAGCCTGCAGTTTGTAACTAGGAACGCACGGACAGGAAGGGCATGCAGAGTCTGCTTTCTAAAGAAGCAGAAGAAACCAGTAAGGAAGCCTGCAGTTTGTAACTAGGAACGCACGGACAGGAAGGGCATGCAGAGTCTGCTTTCTAGAGAAGCAGAAGAAACCAGTAAGGAAGCCTGCAGTTTGTAACTAGGAACGCACGGACAGGAAGGGCACACAAAGTAGGCGCACGTACGTGGGAACAGTAGCTGGATCTCCCTCTGCAGCTGTGCTCTACAGAGTTCTTTCTTCTTCAAGTCACTTGCTTGCTGCTGACAAGTTTCAAATAACTCTAGTATCTGCTGACTCAACTTGAATACATCACAAAAGAAAACGACAACAAAATATTTGTTCAGAAATTTATAACTACTGTACTAAGCAGTGTAAATGAATACTGACAGCATTTAAAAAATAAATCCATATTATCTTAACACTTTCTGATTCAAAGCTATTGTTATTCAAGAAAAAAGAATGGCTTGAGAAACTATACGCAAATTTAAAAAAATAAAATAAAATATTTTAGTGACAGAAAAGTAGTCAGATAATTCATGAGTATAACTCCAGCTCAGCAAACTAAACCCTTTCATATTGTCTGCTTTTATGTGGACCATGAATAATTTTTATACTTTTAAGAGTCACAATCACAAGTAATAAGAATATGCAACAGAAACCATCTGTACATGACATTGTCTAAAATATTTATTTTACTGTAAAATAATTTACAGGTCTCTTCTGCCACACACAGCAGCTTTAGAAAGTCCCATCTTCTTCTATATTCACACAAACCACCTTCCACTCCATTTTGTGTAACTTTCTCTGAACCCTGACTTCTTCAGAAGAGGCTGCCATCTGCGGCTCTCCCGTGTTTAGGTAGCTACATGGTGAATATTTCCCTCCGCCCCAACTCTTGCTGCTACCACAGGATGATGAGGTTATCTCCAGTGAGTCACACTTACCACAATACACTCCACTTCTGAAACTCTTTCACTGTACTATTTCCCACTGGTGTACTGTCACAGCTATGTGCTCCAGTGCTGACATCTTCAATTCCAACACACCACTTCAGCTTCAGTTTCCTGTTCAACTCACTGTCTTATCACCCCCACCCCCTCTAATGTAGCTGCTCTAGACCTGGCCAGGAGTCCCTTGAGATCTCCCTTTTCTTCTATCTCACCAGCACCCAAATGGTCCTAATGCCCTTCTCTATGCAGCCACTAATCCAGAATGCATCTCCCAAACCATTCTCCTTTATCACACTTTAGAAACTTTATCCCCTACGGTCTAATGGCTGTGCTACAAAATCCTCAACGGAAGACAACGAAGACACCACTTTCTTTCTAAAATTAAACCTAAAAGACAAAACTGAAAAGCTTTATGGAAAGTCAAGTTCTTCAAATGTTTGGTGTAAGGGTTAGCCTAGCTTAGCGTCCTTAATATCACTCAGCCTTGACTCCCCTGCCTCTGCTTAGATACTGTTCCCATTTTTCACTATTTCATTCCAAAATGTGTACTGCCTTCTTCAAGGCCCCTAAACTTACTTTCTCTTGCAGATAATCTCATATTAAAATTTTTCTAAGAAAAGCCAAGCGTAGTGGTGCACATCTGCAAATCCCAGCAATCAAGAGGACTGAGGTAGGAGGATCAGGAGTTCAAGGCCATCCTTGGCTTCATAGGGAGTTCCAGGACAGCCTAGGCTACATGAGACCCTGTCTCAAAAAAGAAAAAGAAGAAGGGGGGGGGGCTAAGAAAATTAAAAATAACAGATACAATTCCTCTTTGTGCTAAAGCATATAAATTAACAGTCCTGAAGGAAATCTCACCTCTTTCCTTCTGTTAAGATAAGTGTCCTCTTGCTAAATATTTTTTTTATCCAAGCCTGCTGTGCACCTCAGGAGCACAGACACCTTCATCAGTTCTTCAATCTCTTTTGTATTTTCAGCCTCTCCTTAAGCCTCCCCACACTCTATCTATAACCAGACAAAAGTCTCATTCATCATTTAAGATGTTATTTTTTTAAATGATATTCAGAATATTTAAAGAAGGCTCAAGAGTTGTTGACAACTTGACCATGAAACAGATGCAATTTTTTTTAAACATCTGTATATGCCTAGCCCACAAAAAAAGAAAGAGCAACTAGGAAAATAAACAGATCAAACCAAACTGTGGTGATGTGTTGTGTCCCCAATATATTGTGCACCCTAATAAAGTTTATCTGAGGATCAGAGGAAAAAGCCAACCACTATAATAAACAGAGTTCAAGCAATGGTAGCACACGCCTTTAATCCTATCAGCTTTAATCCTATCACGTGGAAGGTAGAGATCCGTCTGGATCTCTGCGAGTTCAAGGCCACACTGGGAACAGAGCCAGGCATGGTGGTACATACCTTTAATCCCAGCAGTAACCATAAAGGTCTGGAGGTCTGTACAGACAGACAGGAAGTGACAGAACTGGGCAGGAAGAGGAAGTGATGTAGCTGGGCGGAGAGAGGAAATGAGATGGCAGAACAGAAAGGCACATAGGCATGAGTATACAGGAAGTAGCTCTCTTTGGCTGAGGATCTCCAAGTGGTGAGAACGTAGCTGGCTTCTTTCTGCTTTTCTGATCTCTTGGTTTTAACCCCAATATCGGGCTCCGGGTTTTTTATTAGTAAGACTGTTTAGCACTTCGTCTTACACCAAACCAAAACCACACAGCCAACAAATACAATGTAACTGACTCTATAGTTTTCATGAACCCCAGATCTGACAGTGAAGGCGAAACACTAATACCAGAATGGTACAGTACCAAAGAAAGCAGTAAGCAGAAAGAGAAAGAACATTAGTGTAGCCCTACAATCAGAGACCCAGAAAACAAATGGTCTCCAGCTACTACCTTTTGCTTCTTCCCCTCCAAACTGATGGTTCCCTCTTGATGTAGAATAGCATACAAGCCTAAGTATACTTAACAAGCTATAATTTATAAGCAAATACAAGAAGGCCACTAAAAGTTCAGGGACCTCAAACATAAATGAAAATCCCTTTTAAAACAAAGAAAAACACCAACAAAAAACTGTTAGGCCCTGAAATCTAAACAAGGTAGGGCTGTGAAAGGCAAAGGAAAGGTCTAGAATGACTCTGACTACTGGAAATACTTGATAATGTTTGCAAACTATTTTGGTTACCATAACAGGTAGAGTATGTAACTGTCATCGAAAAACCAGGGATACAACTAATCAACTTACAAGACAAAGGTAACTGCCCCTGGAAATAGCTGGTCTAAAAGCATCAATAATGCAAAAGTAAAAATTCCTTGTCTAGACAAAAGTAGGGAAGAAGTAAAGCAGAGGAGGAGGTCTCGAGCCATGAAGACATCCTGCCTAGCCTTCCCTATCTAAAAGGAGCACAGAAAAAGTAGCCATCTCACTCAAACACAAATAACAGAAAAAAAAAAAATAGAATAACTAAAATCTCAAAAAGAATAAATTTAAAAAAGGAATAAAACAAAAACCAAACTAAAATTAAACAAAAAAGGCTTAGGAATACTACCTGACAAAGATGTGAAATAACTTCCATAAAGTTTTTGAAATTAGACTGACTAGAGAAATTGTGCTAAGATGAAGCACATTTCCATGGAGACATGAGGACATGTTAACAGATTTTACAAGGCCTTTTCTCACTTTAACTTGCTGAGAAGATAAAGAACAATTTAAATCACACATACTAACAAGAGAAATTTATTCTGAAAAAACTTATGACAGCAGCAAACTGCATGAAACTATCGACAAGTCTATTTTCCAAAAGCTCTGCAGGACGTACAGGCTGAAATTCACAAAAATATTGACTTAAGAGACATCTAAATATATGAAGAGGTAAGCCTGGTATGACCATGCCTGTAATCCTAGCACTTGGGAGGTAGAGGCAGGATTGGTATGAGTTTAAGGTCAGTATGTGTTGTTGGATCCTAACGGCTCCCTTGGGGGAGGGGTGAGAAGGTAGGGCATCAACAGCACAGACATCTGGAGTCAGATGAAAAAAAAATAATGAGCTAGTTTATTCAATAACAGGGAAGGCCTTATATACTCTCCTCCCAGCACCCAGTCTGCGTGGTCACCCCTCATTGGCTGGGCACGATGAGGAACTCTTAACAGTGACTGTTGCTAGGCCCTCAGACAGACTCTCCACACTATCAGGACCTCTGACAGCAGCCAGGAACTCTGACAGCATCTGTTGCTAGGCCTTCAGGCAGACTCTAGGTTGGCTGATAAGGAAGTACATTATGTGTATGCCTTGACAACTGGTCTAAGCCAATTTCCTCAACCCTAAGGGCCTGTCCTACTACAAGTATGGACTATAGAGCAAGACTCTATCTCAAAACAAAAATAAATAGATATACCATGTTAACAGATCAGAAAACTGTTAGTAAACAAATCAATTCTCCTGAAACAGGTATGTAGAGTCAAGATAATGAGAACAAGCAAACAAAAACAGAATCCTTCTTTCTAAAAATTAAGAAAATGGGTTTTATTTGGAAAAGTGAAAGATCAAGAATAGTCAGGAGGAGGAGGAGAAAAAGAAGCTGCATTAACAGAGATACAGTTGCATTGCCAAAAAAAAAAAAAAAACAAAAAGCACCACCAGACATATGCACATATTCATGAGGAATGCTTAACAACTGGAAGCTGACCCAAACTAAAAACATTAATATTCATCATATGAATGGTCATGTGTTGGTTCAGTATGGTCATATAATGTTGGAATGGTTAAATTAAAGCTGAGAGGTTTAATAACACTATTGTTTACATTTTATGTACACAGTTCGCTATTTGCCATAACAAGAAGATATAGGCACCCAAGTTTGTAATAAATTCAGTAAAAATGGTTAATGTAAATTTTTTTTTTTTTTTTTGGTTTTTCGAGACAAGGTTTCTCTGTGTAGCTTTGCGCCTTTCCTGGAACTCACTTGGTAGTCCAGGCTGGCCCCAAACTCACAGAGATCCGCCTGGCTCTGCCTCCCGAGTGCTGGGATTAAAGGCGTGCGCCACCACCGCCCGGCCTAATGCAAAATTTAACATGTCATATAAGGGTGAGATTTTATTTTATTCAGTCAGAAGGATTGGCAAACTAGGGCCAAAAGGCGAAATACAGCCTCTAGTCTGTTGTGTACAAACAAATTAAATTTTCACATTTTATTAAGTGGAGTCAATAACTCAAATAGTTTGAACATCTAGAATATTTGTTATCTGTTCTTTTAGAGAAAACATTTGTTGTTGTGAAATATGCCTTTACACTGTGTAAAGGTATGTCACTGTGATTGGTTTAATAAAAAACTAATGGCCCATAGCCAGGCAGGACTTTCGGGGCAGAGAGAATGCTGGGAAGAAGGGCAGAGAGACCAGACAGCCACAGAATGAGTCAGATACACAAAATGGGATAGAGGTAAAAGCCATGTGGTAGAATGTAGATTAATAAAAATATGGGTTAATTTAAGTTATAAGAGCTAGTTAGAAACAAGACTAAGCTATCGGCCAAGCTTTCATAATTAATAATAGGTCTCCGTGTTGTGATTTGGGAGCTGGTTGGCAGGACAAAGAAAGACTCGCAACAGTTTGTCAACTGAAGTAGAACAACATAATCCCAGACATCACAGTAGGTACTCAGTATCTGTTGCATAACAAAATAAGGAAATTGTAACAACACTTAAATGAAACCCATTGTAGTCACATGTGGGCCAAAATGTAATCCCAGCATTTGGGAAACTGAGGCGGGAGGACTGTGAATATGAGGCCAACCTGAGCCACAAAGCAAAACCCTATCTATCCATCTTCCTTTTATACTATCTCACATATCATTTCCACTACCATTTGTCACAACTTAATTCGGCAGTACCTCTTATCCAGATACATTAACAACCTTTAAGATGACTGTCCACCTTCAAGGCCATCTCATTCCAAACCAAACAACTCTGTTCTGCAAAAACCTATCCTCCTCCCCAAAATACAAGTCATTATGTTATTTCATCTATTCAAAAACTTCTAATGCCATAGGACTATGCATTCAAGGGTCTAAATCACTGCCTATTTATCTCACATTAGATACTGTATTCAATATACATTCTATAGGGGGTAACATGTAATTGCTTATCACATTTCTGGCAGCAATAGACACTCAGTAGAATAGTTAGTTATTACCATCACAGATCACGTGATGTTACAGCCAGGTCTTATAATGTGGTCTCTCTATTCTAGACTTTAGCACATTAAATTCCTCCTCTTTGTATTTTTAGAGACAGGTGTCAAATCTTGGTCTTACCACTTACTAGATAGACTTTGAGCAAATCACTTAACTTTCTGAATGTCAATAAAATTTAGGATCATAGCTATATGCCACTAGGTTGTTGAAAGAATAAATAACATAACATGTTTAGAATGTCTAAAGAGCAAAGATATCAATGAACATCAGTTTTCTCAAAAAGAGAGCACTTAAGCCAGGCTCAGTAGCACACCTGTAATCTGAGCTTTCAGAAAGTGGAACCAAGAAGATCATGAGTTCAAAGTCAGCCTGAGCTACACAGTGAGCTCCTGTCTCCAGAAATAAAGTACTCACTTAAAAGAACAAACAGGCCGGGCGGTGGTGGCGCACGCCTTTAATCCCAGCACTCGGGAGGCAGAGCCAGGCGGATCTCTGTGAGTTCGAGGCCAGCCTGGTCTACGGAGCAAGATCCAGGAAAGGCGCAAAGCTACACAGAGAAACCCTGTCTCAAAAAACCAAAAAAAAAGAAAAAAAAAAGAACAAACAGAAGCACTTTCCTTCTTTCTCTTACAATAAGGCAGAAATAAAGTATCATTCGAAAAAATTGGTTCAACTACAAAATCTATCTTTACTTTTCTGGGGGAAATGCCTTAATTCCAAAGATAGTACATTTAGGAGAAATTTTTCTATATGACTAAGCAAACAAAAATATGGAATCACATCTTACCAGATGTTTATTACTGACTAATATTAATTACACATTATTAAATTTACAGATTCAACATATGCCTAAGCTATATGTAAAAGTAAGTTCTTTGGTTAGCTCTAACAGTTAACTACAAACATAAGTACATACAAAAATCTATTTAAATATCTATGAGTAATAAACCCACTTTAAATGTCCTACTAGCACGCATACATTAAAAACCCATATATACAGTAACTACTTATATATCCCTTCAGAGGATTCAGTTCACCTCACTGGCCTTATACTACAGGCCTTCACATTAGGACACAGGAGTTAAACTTAGAAAGCAAAGAAGGAACAGAGGAATGAAGAAGAAAGAGTGCCAAAACATCCCATGTTGTTTTTTTAATTTTGCTTTGCTTTCTCCTCTTTCCCACCGGTTTTGTCTAATTATTCCTACTTCATGGTAAGGAAAATGTTGGCACAGAAGGAATAAAATCTTTTTAATAAATGATTCTGGGACAAATGAACCAATAGTAAGAGAATACAGCTGGAGCTTAATTAAAAATGGATCCAAGTCCTAAATGTAAGAACTAAAAGTAAAAATTCTTAGAATACATTCTAGCACTCTGGAGGTATATATGAGTTCAAGGACAGCTTGGTCTACATATTAAGTTTCAGGCTAGCCAGAGCTACATAATGAGGCCCTGTCTCAAAATAAATAAATAGACAAATCTTATAACACATCTGCATCAATACTTAAGACACTGCATTGAGAAGTGGTTTTTGAGATTCAACACTAATAGCACAAGCAACCAAAGAAAAACTAATAAATTGGAATACATAAAAATGAAAAGATTTTGTGCTATAGAGGGCATCAACAAGAAATCTAAAAATATAAATCACAGAAAGGATAAAACATTTGCAATCATGTACCTATAAGGGCTAATACTCAGAATACACAAAAATAACTCTTACAATTCAGCAGCCAGAAGACAAATAACCTACTAAAATCGGGACAAAGAATCTGAATGGACATCTCTCTAAGGAACACACAAATGTCCAACAAGCCAATTCTCCATTAGAGAATGGAGACTGAAACCGTTCTCATACCAGAACGGCTCCACTAAAGAGAGCCCGGATAAGGATACAGCTCAAGAGCAATGCAGTGTTTGCCTAGCATGTTGAAAGCCCTGGGTTCTATCTCTAGTACTGCAAGGAATTAAAAAAGAGAGACAATCACAAGTAAATGTCACAAGTGTTGACAGGGATGTAAATAGAGTGGAACATCTGTATACATATAAAATCCACTTTCCAGAACATTTGGCAGTTCCTAAAAGGTTAAACATAGTTTACCACATTACCCAAGAATTTCACTCCTATGTATGCATCAAGAAAGTGAAAACATATCCATGCAAAATTTTGTACACAGGACAATTACAGCACCATTATTCATAACAGTCAGAGTTAGAAACCTAAAAGTCCATCAGACGGATATGGTATATATCTATACAACAAAATATTATTCTACTGAAAAGAAATGCAGTTCCAACACTCAGTGAGCTGAGGCAGTAGGAAAGTGTGTTCAAGGCCCACCTAAACTACATGGCAAGTAGTCTCAAAAATACAAACAAGCATGGATAAACCCTAAAAACATTATGCCAGAAACGAGGCACAAATGGCCATAGATCGAAGGATTCTACTTACAGGAGGTAGGAAGGAAAATGAACACCATTGAGGTACAAACTTTCTTGGGAGTGTTGAACATGTTTTGGAAACAGATAACTGCACAACTTTGTGAACTTAGTAAAATCTACTGATTTGTACATCTGAAGGGGTAAGTTTCAATCTAAGGCCAGCTTGAACTACACAGCAAGACTCTGTGAAGAAAGGGAAGGAGTAGAGGAAAGGGAAAGTTGACAATATCACTCAAAGAACAAAAGGATGACAGACATTATACACCCTTCCCAATTACCTACAAGTTCTTCTTAACTTTCCACTAAGTATAGCTGAGGAGAGCGACAGTCTTCTAGACTGTTTACTACTACTTGATATTAAAGAACTCTTTGTCCCCAATGCTAACATCATTTTCCAAAGCAAATACTTTGATTTAGCTGAAAGAATTTTTACTGATCTTTTTGATAAATCTTTCTTGATCACACTATTTGTCTATAAATTCGAAAGACAATGCTTTTTAACATTTTATTACAATTACTATATGAATATTCATACATATTTTTCTACAGTAAAAACAAGTTGCACTGGGTGTGGTGATACACACTTTTAATCTGAGCATTTGGAGGCAGATGCAGCCAGATCTCTGTGAGTTCTGGGCCAGCCTGGTCTACAGAGTTCCAGGACAGCCAGAGCTATATAAAAAGAACCTGTCTCAAAACACAAAACAAAACAAAAAAACACCACCAGTAAAAATTCATTCATTCATTTGAGAAAGAATAAGTTGTAAGAGAATTCTCTAACAACTAAGAATCAAATGTTTTGGCTGTTATTCCAAATTTGTAAGTCAGAAAAAAATCTGATTCTGACAAATGTCCTTATGACTGACTGACACACACACAGACACAGACACAGAAACACATACACACACACACACACACACACACACACACACACACACACACAATCTAATTGATATTTAGGAAGAAAATAAAACTTTAAACATTCAAAAAAAAGTGAAATATTCTAAATGTAGAAAATTAGGTTTTCCTGATCCTTTTAATACATTCTTTATATGAACCTTCCAAAAGGCAAAATGAACATCTGCATTATAATTACCTTATCTTTGGCCTCAGGCAGTGTGATTTCTCTAGGTTCTAACAGTGGAATTTCTCGAAAAGGTGGAACACATCGTACTATATCTGGTACATAGTGTGTGTGAAACAATGGTGGCATGGAATATCTTCGGTCACCTGATAAAGGCACTATCTGGTTAATTATAGTTGGCTCTTGGTGGGGTGAATGGAAACGCTGCCGTTTACCATCAAGAGGAAAGTTTTTTTCATCGTTTATTCTCCTGAAAACAAGCAAATATACCTTAGTGACTAGAGACACAACGTTCTGACAACAGAAGCATACAAATATAGAAACAGAAAATAACAGCACTGTGACTTTTGGGTAGGGTTATATTAGCAACTCCCTAGTGGACTTTTAATATTCATTTTCAGCACAAGAGATGCCTTCCAATGCCTTACAAAAACAAAGATAATTAATGGTATGCTTTTGAACTACTAAAATGAGTCATCACCACATTGAAAACAATACAGAAAAATGCCTACAGATAGGATTATACAAACACTAAGAATTAAAGATAAATTCTAACAAAAGGGTAAGTAAATTAAGTGGTATATATATACATACACACACATATTTTTAAAGGTTCTGGTTCATCAGTAGGAAAAACTAAACTGACATTTTTATAAAAGCTATAAAGGGTACCAGACAACAGGAGACACTTGAAAACAAGCTGCATTTCCGATAATATGCATTAACATAAATGTCTTTTGGATGATTAAAGTGTTCTGGTTATATAAGAGAATGTCTTTATTTTTACAAAGAATAGACTGAGATGTTTTTGGATAAAGTAAATAAAGAATGTCAACAATTTCCTTTATATAATTCGGGAGAAAGTGTGAGAATGAGAAGAGAGATAAAAACAAACATAGCTAAACTTTGCAACTAATGAATCAAGGAGAAAGCACACATTATACTATCTTTTACATTTTTCAGAAATTTTGAAAATTTTCAAAATAACAAGAAAATAATTAGGTCAGCACAGAGTGTCTACCAAGCACCCGTGAAGCCCCAGGTACAGACCGCAGTACTAGAAAGGGAAGAGACCAGTAATTTGACAGGGAAAATTATATTTATTTCATTGATAAACTAAGTTGTTCACATAAAATACTTTATGTCACAGAAAATGGTCCAATTCCTTTCCAGCTCTAAAATCCTATGGGTCAATGCCATCTAAAGGTTTTTATTATTACACTGCTCCTCGGACATTATTCTGACTCTTCTCTCTTTGCAGATCCACAAAATAAGTGGAACTCCTACTCGTAAGTAAACATATATAGGACCAGACACATAAAAGTACATTTGTTTTTTTTAAACCTGGAAGTAATTATAGCACATACACTGAGTATCTTCAATTAAAAATACCAATTTTAATTTTTAACAATAACTGTTACTATGAACTAATGGAACTCATCTTCACTCATGAGTTCCCAATTGGCTACTATAGCTATTTAAAAAAAATACACGAATAAAACTAACGAAGTCAATATTCTTAGAATCGTTATATAACTTTCCCAATGATAATGCAGAAAAACTTGTAATGTTTATCAAAAGCTTTGGTTCTAGAAGCAGAAAGTTAGATTTCAAATAGCAGCTATACCATCTCTGTTTGAATAACTATAACTTCTATATCCTACAGCATTTGTATAAACAGAAGACAACAATGAGACTTAATGACATCATTTTAAAGTTTTTACAACATTACTATATTTTAAATTACTATTAATTATTTGTAACATAGAAATTAGATAGGTTTTAAAAGGTATATTGTTGTACAAATATTATCAAATGTTATTTTAGCAAATTCCTCTGAAATTCTATTATAATTATTTTGTAATAGATGTATTTCTTTTAAAATTGACTGGTTTCTGAAATGACTATAAAAAGCCTTATATCAGCCAGGTGTGGTGGCGCATGCCTTTAATTCCAGTACTTGGGAGGCAGAAGCAGGTTGTGGTAATATTTTGTTTGTGCTCTATCAAACAAAGCTTGCCTGGAGATCAGAATGCAGAGCTAGCCACTAAAGGCCAAGCAGTGGTGGCACACACCTTTAAACCCAGCACTTGGGATCTCATGCTTTTGATCCCAGTACTTGGGAGGCACGAGCCTTTAATTCCAGCACTTAGGAGGAGGAAACAGGAAATGATTTGTCTAGGTGAAGAGAGGAATGATAAGGCAGGATGGAGAAAGGAGCTAAGCCCTTCCGGTCTGAGGATTCCGTGGAGGTAAGAAGTCTGATCTTTCAGCATGTACCCTGATATCTGGCACCAGGTTTTTATTAATAAGACCAATTAGAATTCCTGGTACAGCAGGTGGATCTCTGTGAGTTCCAGTCCAGCCTGGTCTACAGAGTAGCCATGAAGACCAAGGCTACTCAAAGGAACCCTGACTCAAAAGCAAACAAATACAAGAATCTTCTGAGCTAAAACTTTTCAAAAGATAATTAAGTGTAACTGGGTTCTTAAGGGAAGGACCCTAATCTATTATAATGGGTATCCTGTAGAGTCAGATCACCACAAGGGCAAAGGAAAGAATACAGAGAGTACAAGAACAAGAATCTACATGGCGAAGAAGGACTTCAAAGTACGCCAGCCGTGCTGAGTATGATCTGGATTTTTAGCCTCTTGATGGCATCAAGTATCAGTTTACAGTACTTTGCTATTGCAACCCTAGTAAATTCATAAGAAGGCATCTGATGTGGCTACGATTCTCAAAACACAGATTTCTGTAGAAACATAACTTTATTCCAACTAAAACCTGCAGTGGCAGGAATAAAACATTGCAAGGTTCATTAAAATGTTTGAACTCAAAGAAGTTTTAAAACTCTGTGACTCATCTAATTGCATAGGTTTCAGAAAACAAAACGTAGGCCACACTATCCATATAGTTTTATATAACTGATACATAGTTCTTAGGACTATAACATTTCTTTTAAAAAGTTGAAAATACTTACTTCCTTCCTCGAAATAATGGGGATGTCGAGGTCTGTATTGGACTGACAGTTCCATATGTCAGAGGCTGTAAGGTCACAGCTCTAGACAAGCTACAAAAAACACAGAATAAGAACATAAATATTTTTCCTTAGAACAAAAAATTCCACACAAACTAAATACTTAACTAGTCAAAAGAAAACAGTTTAATAATATTTTCTCTGCTTTCAAATACTGAATACAAAACCATTACACCAAAGAAAAAACAGAACGTAATGACATGGTCGAATATAACACCATACTTACTCTATATTTTGAAAGTTGTATTGTGCATCAATAAGCTGCTGGTGTGAATAAAGAGTTGGTGAGAGAGCAAAGAAGTTATTATGCTGTTGGTGGTTTGGAGTGAAGGGTGGACGACCCAAAATTGAGTTTGGGAACATGCTCTTGTTCACTGAAGGTGAACATGTATTCTTCTACCTATAATTTAAGAAGATAATACTAAATTATTATAACTTAAAGACACAGAACTCTTTGATAAGTATTATCTACTACTTAAAACAATCAGCTATTAAATTAGTCATTTCATTTGCAAAGCTATTTCCAAAGGTTTAAATAGGTCTTAAATTCTACTATGGGCAAATCACAAATAACTAACAGTTCATTTAAAATCTAAACCACGCCGGGCGGTGGTGGCGCACGCCTTTAATCCCAGCACTCGGGAGGCAGAGCCAGGCGGATCTCTGTGAGTTCGAGGCCAGCCTGGTCTCCAAAGCGAGTTCCAGGAAAGGCGCAAAGCTACACAGAGAAACCCTGTCTCGAAAAACCAAAAAAAAAAAAAAAAAAAAAAAAAATCTAAACCACGTTCAAACGCTTTCAATAATATGCATGTTTCAAATTTTCTGATGAAAATGCTCTAAGTTTACCTTCATAGCAACACAATTTTTACCACCATGATTCTAACAACAAAAGAATCATTCAAGAGATTTAATTAAGTTGCTCAGATCCTTACATTTATTCACAACCTAATTCATAAAAAGGTACATGCTATCAGGTAAGGATATGGTACTTTACATCATCTGAAAAAATAAGGAATGTATGTCACCTACCAATTCATAAAATTCCAAGATTCTTCTCAATGGCTATACACAAAAGACTTGCAATAAAACAGTTTTGTTCCATAGAGGAAGGAAAATTATCATAGAGGACAATTAGAACATGTCATTAACCTAGGAAGACACTAGATGCTCCTTTTTAAATTTTTTTCAATGACTAATGCAGCAAAGCTACAGTCTTCAAAAGGGTGGGTAAGGTAGCATACAAAAACCAAGAAAACAAATTAAAAACGACACTCCCTGATCTCCTTCTTAAAACAGGTAGAAGCCGGGCATGGTGGCACACACCTTTAATCCCAGCACTCGGGAGGCAGAGGCAGGCAGATCTCTGAGTTCGAGGCCAGCCTGGTCTACAGAGTGAGTTCCAGGACAGAGAAACCCTGTCTCAAAAAAACAAAAAAACAAAAAAAAGGTAGAAAACTCTTAACTGAAAAACAGTACACACCATAACAATAATCAATGATATAACAATATAACACAGTAAAAGGGTCTACCATCAAGTCAACAGAATTACATGCTCAGCCTACCTACAAGAAATGCTAACAGCTGCCAGGTACAACTCATATATAAGAAGCTTTCATTTAAACTTAAAATAAGGCATCCATAGATCACCAAAGAGGGAGGAAAAAATGGAAAATAAGCAGAAAATATATCAAATAAACATTCAAAGAAAAAGTCCCAGAGAACCCAACTATGTGATCCAACATTATAATAGAAAAGTCCATGAAAAACAGAAAAACACACAAAGAAGAGAATCCCTAAACAAATCAAAGAAAAATATGTCCTGGACTAAAAATCTCAATCAATCTCTCTCTCTCTCTCTCTCTCTCTCTCTCTCTCTCTCTCTCTCTCTCTCTCTCTCTCTCTCACACACACACACACACACACACACACACACACACACACACACACACACACAGATGGAATTTTAAAATATTCAGAGAAAACTAGTTTATCAATATTCCAGAGGAGGAAATATTAAAAAGCTGGGGATCAACATGTCTTTGGCCTTTCTAATAACAATAGTAGAAGCCACAAGACACAAATTAATGCCCTTAAAGCTTTAAAGCTTAAGTAAAATGTTAAGCCACAAGGCTATCCCTGTCTATAGTATCAACATAAGGGAAAATGAAAATACTTGTAGATATGAAGGGTAAAGAGAGAAAGATGAGGCAAGGTGGTACACACTAGCAGTCCCAGCACTAAGGAGATAGAGTTGGAAAGTACAAAATTTTCAGCCAGTAGTGGTAACACACAAGAGGCAAGTGGATTGCCATGAGTTCAAGGCCATCCTGTTATACAGAGAGAGTCTCAAGCCAGCTCGGGTAACATAGTGAGACCCTGTCTCAAAAGAAAGAAAACCCAGATTAGGGCAAATTCCCAGAATGATAAGGAAGGGAAGTTCAATAGCTGCTCAAAATCAAAGAGAAAGATGGTCTCAAGATGATACTTAAGAAATGCAAATCAAAACAACTTTGAGATATCATCTTACTCCAATCCAATGGCAAAGATCAACAAAAAGACCAATAACAAATGCTGGAGGGGTTGTGGGGTAAAGAGAATCCTCATTCATTCACTGTTGCTGGGACTGCAAACTGCTCTATCCACTCTGAAAATCAATGTGGGTAAAACCTCAAAAAGCTAAAAATAAATCTACCATATGACCCAGCTCCACTCCTTGGCATATGCCCAAAAGACTCGACATGCTGCTCTACAGATACCTGCTCAGTCATGTTCATTGCTCTATTCACAATAGCTAGGAAATGGAAACAGCATAAATGTCCTTCAACTGAGAAATGGACAATTACAACGTGGTGTATATATACACTATGGAATAGCATTCAGCTGTATAGAAAAATGAAATCATGAACTTTGCAGATAAATGGGTGGAACTAGAAAAGATCATATTGAGTGAGGCAATCCAGACCCAAAAAGGAAAAATGTGGCATGTTCTCTCTCATCAGAGGCTCCTAGCTCCAGATCTTCAGATGTGAGTCCATATCCTAGAGTTCCTGTAGAAACCAGTAAAAAGGAACCATGACTGGGCACAGGGGTGGTGAGCAATAGAGAGGGGACTAGCAGGGAACAAGTGATCTGATCCAGGGAAGGCTCTAACTAGGGAGTAGGAGGGAATGAAATATAGAAGGGAGTGGAGGTTAAATAACAGTAAGGATGCTTGAAAAAGTCATAAGGAATCATGCTATTAACTATCTAAAACAAAAACCTCTAACACAGACACACACACACACACACACACACACACACACACACACACACACACACACACACAGTTTAAATGAACTTTTCTCATCTGGGCTGACAATGTTCCTTCCAAGAACCAACGACTAACAAAATCCCCAACGCCAGGTATTTAGAAGTCCCTTTGAATTGTTGGTCAAGGTTGTCAAACAGCATTACAGGCTATTGCTACTGTCCTTGGTTTTCCCCACAGAGGTGAAAGGTTCAGCCCCTATTCCTGAAGACACCAGGCACTTAAAGACACAGAGTCCAGAGGCCTGAGCTGGAACTGACCTGAATGCCCCTTCCCTGAAGCTTTCATGAAAGCTTCCCAAAGGAGAGAAGCAACCAACAGTCAGTCCTACAGAGCTATGAGCCTGTGAACCACAACAATGACCAGCACTGCATGATAACTAAGGGTGCAGCAGTGGCATGCACACCTTGGCAGTAACCAACAGCTCTCTAATTGGACTTAGGACCCACTTAAAAGAGGGTCATGCCTGATACTGGAAACCAACCTAGCCAACTACCCACAGCTAGTGAAGTCACAGATCTTGGAGGAAAACCGACAACCATCACTTTACTAAACCAACACAATCCCTCACCACATTCTAAATATTTGTCCTTATTATACCCACAGATTAATGCAGTTCTCACCTCTCATTAAGGAAAATTCTCTTTGCAATAAACAGAGACCATTAAAAACCACAACCAATCAAAATGCAGAGTCATATAGCCCAGTCCCAAAGGATATATCTACAACACAATTTCCACACCTAAGGCATGGGGAACACATGGGAAGAGGGGGTCAAAAGATCTAAGATCAGTGAGTTTGCTGTGAGACTGTGTCTCCTAGTAATGTCAGAGGCTACATCCATAAGTCTCACTCTAATGACTTCTTAAACACGAGCTCAACAAAGACAACAGACGTGGTAAAGTGAACTGGGGAAAGACTACAAAGCCTCAATCCTACACGAAGAACTACAGTCAACTAAGGAGTGCTCAGAGTGGGAGAAACAGTCTTCCCCAGGGAAGAGTACGTCAACTGGCTATCCAATACTGAATGGTCAGCCCTAAAATAATACATACAAGCAACATTACACAAACTGAGCAGGTTATATTTAGGAGTGTGTGTGTGTGTGTGTGTGTGTGTGTGTGTCTGTGTGTGTGTCTGTGTGTGTATGTATGCATGCAACAACAATTTTTTTTTAAAAAGCTGTGAATTCAAAAGAAATCAAGAAGGGGCAAATGAAAGGGTTTGAAGAAAATAAAGAGAAGGGAAATGATGTAATTATAATCTCAAAAATAGAAAAAATATGTCGGACAGTGGTGGCTCACACCTATAATCCTAGCACTCGGGTGGCAGAGCCAGGAGGATCTCTATGAGTTCGAGACCAGCCTGGTCTACAGAGTAAGATCCAGGACAGGCACCAAAACTACACAGAGAAACCCTGTCTTGAAAAAACAAAAACAAGAAAAAGAAAAAATAATAGAAAAGAAAATAATACTATTAGTACTGATAAAAGTCACTATACAGAAGAGCACTTTAAAAATAACAAAAACAAAACAAATTTGTAGATTATCCAATGAATTTGCCCAGAGTGTTTTTCTAAGACATCTGTTTTTTGTTTGATTTGGTTTTTGGTTTTTTGAGACAAGGTTTCTCTATGTAGCCTTGGCTGTCCTTGAACTCACTTTGTAGACCAGGATGACCTCGAATTCAGAGATCCACCTTCCTCTGCCTCCCAAGTGCTGAGATTAAAGGCATAAGCCACCACACACAGCCTGGAGATATTTGGTTCTTATAGTAATATAACCATTTTAAACAAAAGTTATGTTTGTTATATATCATTTACTATATATTTGTAAATATATTTACAATTATATATTGTAAATAATATTTGTATTTGCATATTTATGTTCTGAATTTATATACTGATATGGCAAGTTTTATGTGTATATACTATGTGTGCAAAGGATTATTCAAGTTATAAAAAGTGCTAAATTTTCTTTTCTGATAAGCAAATCAAAGAATGAACCACAAAAGCTTTTTTTTTTTTTTTTTTTAAAGTAAAAGGCCAGGTTTATTTAGGCAAAGCACTCCAGGTAGGGGGACAGGAGAAAAAATCACATGGCCTGTCTAAAGGAGGGGGCTTAAAAACCCTGGAGGCCCGGGATGAGGAGGCATCCTCCACAAGCTGGGTTATACCCAATTATACTGCTTTGGGTGGGGACTTAGGGAACTGGAAGCCTCAGGGATGAGGAAGTGTACTTTTGGTGGTCTTTCTGAGAGGGTGGGGTTTGGAGATGGAGGAATGAGCCAAGCTGGAGATATTAGCTGGAGATTCCAGCCAAACATCCCAAACTTCTTGGATATATATTACAGTTCAAATCCGGCTACTTCATGCTGACATGGGACGATGTGGGGAGTGGGAGTCAGGAGTTGGTGGGCTCGCACTCAGCAGGAGGTATGGGTAAAGCATTGGGTTAACTGTGCTTTTTCTTTCAGTTTTTTGTTTTGTTTTGTTTTACAGAAGAAAACAAATGTGTAGCAGATAAGTGTTATTAGAGAATGAAACTGAAAGGGTTGGAAAAACTGGAAGAGTCAACAGAATGGGAGGAAGGGGCCTGAAAAGAAACTAAAACTCAATACAAATTTTGTTCCTTGGTTTTCCCATTCTGTGAAGTTAAAATTTCCTAGGTTGACCACATATAATCAGATTCATTAGTCCAAGGTTCATCATAGGTAGTGGACAGGCAACTTATAACCATTCTCAGACATCACTCCAAATACCTGACTCTAATTTGTACAAGAGACAAAGTGCTGTCTATAGGAAATAAATCTGTCAAATTCCTCCAGGAAGTCTGTACTTCCTCTTATAGGTTTTTGTTTTGTTTTGTTTTTGTTATTTTTTTAAATCAGTATCTGCTGACCTGTACTCTCTGAATTTCACTGCTCAGAGGGAAATGGTAGTTAAGATTTGGTTCCCTTTACTTCACTTCCCTGAACTAACTTCCCATTTAAAAACAATCTTTTTCATGGAGGTTATAAAAAAAAATGTCATTAAGTGGTTGTTAGCTAAAATGAATTTTGCTTGACATTTTATTTTGCTGGAGTACAGAAACTATGGACCTAAATAAAAGAAGCCGTCTATCCACAGAAAAAACAGAACTAAAAAGTTCTATTTCAAGTCATACCTAGTGGCACATACCTGAAATGCCAGCATTTGGGAGGATAAGGGAGGATGATCAGCAGTGTAAGACTAGCTGGGAAGACACAGCAAGTTCAAACTCAACCTGGGCATAAGTAGATTGTCTCAAAAAAAAACACAACACGAAAGTTCTATTTCAAAGCTAGAAGAAGTGGTGCATGCCTGAAATTTCAGAATTCAGAAGACTCAGGCAGGTGGATCTTAAGTTTAAGTACATCCTGGGTTGCATAGGAGTGAAAACTCGTCTCTAAAAGCAAACAAGGGGGCTGGAGTGCTCAGAGGTCAAGAGCACCGACTGCTCACTCTTACAGAGGACCCAGGTATGGTTCTCAGCACCCACATGGTGACTCACAACTATGTGTAACTCCAGTTCCAGGAAATTCAATGCCTTCTTCTGACCTTCTAGAGCACCAGGCATGCACATAATGTGTGTGATACACACACATAAAATAATAGACACAGCTGAAAAAATAAAAAACAACAACAAATACTATTTCAGGTTCATTTACAGAGGTACACTGTTCAACACCTAGACAATTTATATCTATAAACTGTCATAAGACCGTATATGTCTGTATTCAGACTTAAAGATGCAAAAATGCTAATAATACACCTTTCACTTTTATTTCTATCCCATTACACAATCAAATCCGAACTAAGTAGAAATTAAAAGATAGTATGGTACCCAGAACTACTCTACAACATTAAAACCAAATGATTCTACAATTAAAAGCTTAGAAGCCTAGGATGATTTCATAGCCAAAAATTTACTCTAGGGTATATATCTAATTCAGCGTATTCAAACGCAAAGTGAAAATTTCTATTTTACTATTTTATTGAGAAAGGGTCTCACTGTGTTGTGCTGGCTGGCCTTCAACTCTCTATGCAGACCAGGCTGGCCTTCAACTCTCTATGCAGACCAGGCTGGCCTTCAACTCTGTGACTGGCCTGACTCTGAGAAGCATTCATTCTTCTGGAGTTGTCTAAGACAAAATACTAGTCAGGCTCTCTCAGGAACCTTGACCCTTAAGTCAAACTTTAACTGGGCAGCCTTCAAAACAGAACCATTCCTAAGAAATTTAACAGAGCAATCAATGTTCACCCCATAAGTAGCCTATATGACCATCTAGAGACATGAAATCCTTTTTCTAACAGACTTCAATAATGATTGTAATGCAAATGATGTAATGCAAAAATACAAGGGAACCAGGTGTGGTGACACACACCTTTGATGCCAGCACTCAAATGGCAGAGGAGGCAGGCAGATCTCTGTGAGGTCAAGGCTTACCTGGTCCATAAAGCAAGTTCTAGGCTAGTCAAGGCTATATATATGAGACCCCGACTCAATAGCAAAGCAAAACACAAGGAATCTTTATAAAATATAGTTTAATGAAATAGGTCAAGTGAAACTATCACTATACCAGAACTTTATAAAAGTTTAACTATTTTCTTTATAGTCTTAATGAAGCTTCCCCACTAAAGATTATCTGTAACAAGTTATTCCATGTTATCTGTAGTAGTATGATAAATTTTATAGTAACATCCACAAATTGATAGTATCCTACTTTTCTTACCTTAAAAGTTACTGGTTTTTTAATCTGTACTCAACAGTGAAACAGAATAATCTAGGTAAAATTTGTACTGTTTTTAAAAACCATTATACTAGTTCTTGCCTTGAGAAAAGACCCTTAAAAGATGGTTTTGTCTAATATGCTTAAACCAATACAAAATTAGTAAGATTTATGTGAAAATGAGCATACATGAGACAAGATAGTAAGAGTTTAGAAAGTATTTCTAGTGAGAACAGTTTTGGGTCTCTTAATTTGCTACTGGAATTACTGTCCTCAAATTGATCTCTCCTACAAGTTATAGAACACTCAAGTTTACATAATGGTCTCTTTATCAAGATTCCTTGGAAAGCAGCATCTACCTAATACAAACAAGAACTGGACAGCTGAATCAAGTTCTCTGTTCACTTTATCTAAGTGTCTTTGATCCCCTAAAATCTTCAGTTCTTTTCTCCACAACAGAAAAGGTCTAACTCCTAAATCCTGCTCACCCACTGCCAAAACCACCTTCAGGGTTTTTGGTTTTTTCTTTTTCTTTTCTTTTTTTTTTTTTTTTTTTTTGGTCTTGGTTTTTTTTCGAGACAGGGTTTCTCTGTGTAGTTTTGGTGCCTGTCCTGGATCTCGATCTGTAGACCAGGCCTCAAACTCACAGAGATACGCCTGGCTCTACCTCCCAAGTGCTGGGATTAAAGGTGTGCGCCACCACCGCCCGGCTCACCTTCAGGTTTTAACAGAGCATTCCTTTTTTATTAAAAACTAAATTCCATCCTAGAGTTAAAAGAAAAATCTAGCAACATGGTTCCAAATGGACATTTCTCAAATGACTGAAAACTGGCCTCTTTCACAGGGACTCTATGTATTATGGGACATTTCTAGATCACATACAATTGGAACTATTCACACCTACCAACTAATGTTTCTATTACCAGTTGTTAGTGCAAATTAAGAGTGTTATAGTGGTTAGCACACCAAAGCATGGTAGTACTGAACTATATACTATAATGGTAGTGTATCTGTATACAAAAACAAGCCACAAAAAACCATATACTTAATTTTCCAACCGGACTTGCACAATTTCTTTCTCTTCCTTTTATCAGCAATCTTATTTTAAACAAAGCTGAAAGAGGCAAAACAAGAAAGAAAACTTGAAAATCTTTTTCTTTCCTTTTATCCACAATCTAATTATTTTAAACAAAGCTCAAAGAGGCAAAAACAGGGGAGGGAACTTTCAAGTCTGGGGAACACATAAGCGCCCCTTGTGTTCTTAACCAGATAAAAGGATGGAAAGTCTAGCCACCAAATCTGACCGGGAAAAGTGCATCCAACCATCCAGCCAGTCCCAGCCTGTGTTTTTACCGAAGTGACTTCACGCTACTTAATTAAATGTCTTAAAGATAAACGCCTTCCACAATAGTTAACTTAGACATTTATCTTAGTTCTCCACTGCCTTTTGGAACACCAGGAGGGAGTATCTAGACATTCCTACTCTTTCGGTCTAGAGAGGGAGGACAGGAGAGAAGGAAGTCCGAGAAGATTCAGAAGCCAGCGGCACCAACATTCTTCCCCAAGTCCAGCACCCGGGGAACGCCCCTGTCCCGGGGAGCCCCAGGACAGGGCCAGGCTCTCCCGCGCAAAACACAACGTCAGTCTCGGCAAAGTTTCGCGCGCCCGCCCGGGGCCCAGAGCCTGCTCCCGCGCATCCCCTCCGAAGCCCCTCCACTCACCGGCGTCCACGCCGAGGGGCCGAGCAGGGCCCAGCGGCACTGCCCGCCAACGCGCTCCCAGGCCCGAGCTGCCGCCCGAGCTGGCCGAGGTCGGAGCAGCCCGCGGCACGGCGAGGCCCAGCTCGGGCGGGTGACCCAGGTCCCGGCAGGGCGGCGGAGAGGCGAGAACCGAGACGGCCGGGCCCGCGCGGTCGTGGAAGGCTGGGGGCGGCGACAACAAAAAGAAAGGAAGGGGAAAAAAAAAAAAAAAAAGAAGCGGAAGACCCAAAAGTCGCCGAAAAGGCGGCGTCGACAGCCCTGTCAGAGATTCCCGGAAGATCGGCGTGACCCCGGATGGGAATAAGCAGCGGGAGGGAAAGGTCAGACTTCCGGCAGCCGCCGCCGGTGAGCGCCTTGGCCGAACTGCGCAGGCGCGAAGCCTGCCCGCCTGGGTCCACGCGGTGGCGAGGGCCGGGGCAGACCCCGGCCGGCCGCCCGTGCTGCCGGAGCGCCGCCGTCCCGTGCAGCCGCTCTCCCGCTAGCCGTTTCCCGCGGGGCCCTTTCTGTCCGTGGGGAGCCTTCCAGGAGATTATCGAAAACCAACCTCACCTCGCCCGTGCTGGAAAGATCAGTATCAAGTTTTAGTTGGTTTTCTCCTCCAAAAAAGCAGGTTTTTTGAAGACAAAAAAAAAAAAAAAAAAAATGCCTATAATGCCCAAAGCCCACTCAGCACCCTGCCCGGAACAGCTAGCACTCACTGGTCCAACAAACACCGCTATTTCTCGTTGACTCACCTTTAGTATCTTATGAAACTATCTGAACTGCTTGATTTATTGATGTCAACCCGTTAACGATAGTTCCCGTTATTGTCCCGGGAGGAAGTGTAAAAATCTGACTGCTCTCATTCTTGAAACTAGTAATTTGTGATTTTGGTCGGTTTGTTCATTGCTTTTTTTTGGTTTTCTAGTTGTTTCGTTGTTTTCCATGCTTTTAGTTATTAAAATTTTAATTTTTCTACTTTCTTAACTCACAAACTGAGGTCATCGTTGTGATACAGTCATTTAATAACTTACTATGTACTATATACTGATTACTATATAGTGTACTATATTACTATATACTGATTACTGATTATATGATTATATATACTGATTACTGATGTTTATTTTATACACTATATTATATACTATATATTATTTTACTATATAGCATGCTATATACTGATTTAGCTGAATCCCCCAGCTTTTTTTTGTTTGTTTGTTTGTTTATTTTGTTTTTTTGAGACAGGGTTTCACTGTGTAGCTTTGGTGCCTATCCTGGATCTTGCTCTGTAGAGCTGGTCTCGAACTCACAGAGATCCTCTGGCTCTGCCTCCAGAATGCTGAGATTAAAGGCGTGCGCCACCAACGCCCGACTTCCCACCTATTTTGATGTAAAGAGTTTTCACTTGACCTGCAAATCCTTTATAATTTCTCTGTTATTTCTTCTTTGGGGCGCTTTATAAGTGTATAGTAATGTCTGACATTACAGCAACATTTCTAAATAGCTTTCTGCTAATTTCTAATGTAATGCCATTATAATCAGAGATTATAATTTAAATCATTTTAAATTTATTGAACTTGTCATGTGGGCCCATGTATTGATGCGTTAAGTGTTTGTTCATTGTGCATTAGAAATAAAGTATGTTCTACAGTTGATGAGTAGCATGTTTTACAAATGTCAGTCAAGTCTGGTCGGTTGATATTATTATTCAGATCTTCAACATCTCTATGGTTTCCTGCCTTGTTTATCCTTTTAGTTATAAGAAAGGCATATTACTGGGTGGTGGTGGTGCATGCCTTTAATCCCAGCACTTGGGAGGCAGAGCCAGACGGATCTCTGTGAGTTCGAGGCCAGCCTGGTCTACAGAGCGAGATCCAGGAAAGGTGCAACGCTACACAGAGAAACCCTGTCTTAGAGAGAGAGAGAGAGAGAGAGAGAGAGAGAAAGAAAGGCATATTGACAGGCTGAGACTGTAGGTCAGTAGTACAGCCTATCATGTGAGGCCCTGTGTTCAATACCCAGTGCTGAAAAAGTACTGAAATATGACTATAATTGTGGCTCATTCTGTATTTCTTGTATGTCTTTCAGTTGTTACTGCCTATATCCATCTCCTCTGAAAGTTTTATTATGGAATGTCCCCCTTGTAAAGTGACCTGTTCTTTGCCGTTACTGTTTTCACTCTAAAGTGTGTTCTGTCTGATCATAATGCAGGCACTCCAGCTTTATGTTGTTTGGAACTAATTTTAAAGGGAAAATGTATTTATCACTTTTCTCCTCGCTGTAACCAAAATATCTGACAGAAAGAAGCAAATAAAGGTTTTTGTTGGCTCGTGGCTTCAGAAGTTTGAATGCATCACATCTAGGAAGGCATGGAGGAGTTGATGGCAGCAACAGCATGCTCACACTTGCCCAGTACCAAAACCTATGCACGAACTTCTTTACATTAGAATGGCCATTCTGAACCATGAAGCTGCTAATGTCCAGAATTTACAGACTGCAGAAATTAAATACCAAGGAATTAAAGCTGTCCATCAAAAGAAGAAACACAAAGACCTACTCTTTACAGCTGTTCACCATCCCTAGTCATGAGAGAAATGTAAAAATTACTTGGAGACGCCGTCTCACTCCAGTCGGACGTATCAAGAAGTCGGAGGACAAATGTTGAAGAGGGTGTGGGGGCAGTCAGCACCATCATACCAAGCCCTGCCCGAAGTTTCTAGGCCCAGGCCCAGGAGAGTGGAAAGCCAACAGCTCTGTGCCATGCCTTGCAGCTGGGCGGGAATGACTCCACCAAGCGCCACCTGACCCAAGCAAGAGCCCTGGCACCTGGCAGTCCGGCACAGTTGTGGTGAGAGAGCACAGGGTGGGGAGGTGGAAGAGAGGGAAGCAGATCTCAAGCGGTCAGGGTGGTGAGGACAGGGCTAGCATGAATGGCCTGCTGGCCGCCCAGGGTGTTGTCTAGGCCTGGGCCATGGCCAAGGGCCAAGTATTGGTCTGGGGGGGAGGGTTGGGGGGAACTGTGGTTTGGGCTGCCTGCCACCTGGGGCCATATTGGTATGTGAGGGTCAAACTGCCACATCAATGCAGACCCTGGCTGTGGTAGGACCCTGGACCCAGACATGGTCCTATGTAACAGCCTGGGCCCAGATGTCACGATGACCCCAGGTGGCAGCACAGGCCACTTGGACTGGCGTGGCCCCTGGGGTAGCATGGCCCCCGTAGTGACAATGAGGGAAAGGAAGCCGCCCGACCAACCCAGCTACCACTCAGGCCCAGAACCAGGGCTGTGAGTTGGCCCACCCCAACACCCACTGAGTCCATGAACTGTTGGAGCATGTGAAGGGGATGAACCTACAGATCCAAAACAACAGGATCTCCACAACACAGGACAACAGGATGTCCAAAAGGGGCCCCAGTTATGAGTGGTGTAGCAGAAGCCAGAGGCCTCGAGCCAAACCAATGACTCGAGGCAATGAACACTTACAAGCGAAGATGAATGGACTAAAGGGTAAACTCTGTGACTCAACAGGCCACAGGACAGCTTCCGTGACAAGATTCTTCTCTTTAAAAAAAAAAAAAGTTTTGTTTTGTTTCTTTGTTTTGTTTTGGTTTTGGTTTTCCTTTTAAATTTGTTTTTGATTTGGGGTGGGGTAGGTTGCAAGGGCAGAGGGCAGATATGAGGGGATGAGGAGACAAGTGGGATCAGAATGGATGATGTGAAGTCCACAAAAAAAAAAATCAATAAAAGTTAAAAGAAAAAAGGGACATCACATCAGCTACCAAGGTAATTCAGAGAATTATAAGAACATACTTTTAAAATCTGTACTCCACAAAACTGAAAATCTAAACAAAATGGATAAATTTCTTTTTCTTTTTCTTTTTTTCTTTTTTCTTTTGTTTTTTTCAAGACAGGGTTTCTCTGTGTAGTTTTGCTGCCTGTCCTGGATCTTGCTCTGTAGACCAGACTGGCCTTGAACTTATAGAGATCTGCCTGGCTCTGCCTCCTGAGTGCTGAGATTTAAGGCATGTGCTGCCACTGCCCAGCTAAATTTCTTAATATATATACAAGCAACCAAAGTTAAATTAAGAGCAAATAAGCAATTTAAATAGACCCATAATGCTTAATGAAATAGAAGCTGTAATTAAAAGTAGCCCAACCAAAATAGCCTAGGGCCAGAAGAATTCAGTGCAGAATTCTACCAGACGTTCCAAGAAGAATTAGCACCAGTCCTCTTCAAATTACTCCACAAAATAGAAACTGAAGGAACAGTTCCTAATTTTTTTTTACAAGATCACTATTACCCTGATACCAAAACTACACAAAGATACAACAACAAAGAAATTATAGACCAATATCCCTTATGAACGTAGATGAAAATATTCTCATAAAATTCTTGCAAACTGAATCCAAGAACATATCAAAATGATTATCCACCATAATCAAGTTGGCTTATCTCAGAGATGTAGGGGTGGTTCAGCATATGTAAATTAATGTAATCCACACATAAACTGACTGAAAGACAAAAAACACATGATCATCTCATTAGAAGAGAACAGGCCTTTGACAAAATCCAACATCCCTTTGTAATGAACATCCTGATGAGGTTAGGGATACAAAGGACATGATATCAATGTAATAAAGGTGGTTTACAGCAAGCCCACAGCCAACATCTATGTAAATGGAGAGAAAAGCAATGAGTGCATTGCTATCAGGAAGAGGACAAGGATGTCCACTCTCCATACCTATCCAATATAGTACTTGAAGTCTCAGCTAGAGAAAAAAGACCACTGGAGCACATCAAGGGGTACAAATAGAAAGGGAAGAAGTCAGAGTATTTCTATTTGCAGGTGGTATGATTTTACAGATAAAAAGACCCTAAAAACTCCACCAGGAAACTTTTACAGCTGATAAACACTTTCAGCAAAGTAGCAGGATACAAAATTAACTCACAAAAAATCAGTAGCTTTCCTATATACAAATGACAAACAGACCGAGAAAGAAATCAGGGGAACGGTACATTTCACAGTGGCCTCAAAAAATATATAAATCTTGGGATAACTCTAACCAAGCAAATTAAAGACTTCTGTAATAAAAACTTCAAGACACTGAAGAAAGAAATTGGAGAAGATACCAGAAGATGGAAAAATCTCCCATGCTCAAAGATCAGTAGAACTAATACAGTGAAAATTGCCTCCTACAGATAAATGCAATCCCTATGAAAATCCCAACACAATTCTTCACGGAAATTGACAAAAACAATCTTTAACTTCATATGGAAACACATAAACCCTGG